GTATTTAAAATAAATATTTTATTCAATAATTTTTTATTAAAATACCAAAATTTTATTATGACCGAGAAAAATCTAAATATTCAAAAGGAATAATTTATTGCAAATAAAAACTTCTAGTGATATTAATTCCATTATAATTAATTTTTTAGGAAATTTATATTAAAAAAGTTTCCTTTGAAAAATATGTAATAATTCTTATTTCCAATCATATTTAACTTATGATTATTTTTATGTTTACTTATATATTGATAAGTCTAAAAAGTGAGATAGATTATGATAAAATTTGATTTATATGATTTAGTTTTTCAATATTTACTAATTCCAATATTAACCAAAAGGATAAAGGTATAAAAATTAATACTTTACAAATAGTTGAAAGAATTAAATTATGAAAGAAAATTTTTAAATCTAAGCCGATAAATAAAAAGTTCATCCAAATGATATTTTTACATGTATTCATTGGTTGTTATCTTATTTAAATAACTTGTTATATCCATCGTATTCTAACAAGAATTATCCGAAGAAAGCAATAAACTATTCTAATAAATCATTTAAAAAAAATGCTAAATTCACTCTGATGAAGACTGTATTCACTTAAGTCTATATTTTAAAGATCAAGCACTAAAAGAAATATGTAAAGAAGAAATAGCCAATAAACACAAAGTTGTGCCCTTATAAACATCCATATAATCTTTAATAGAGAATTGTATTTTATTGAATCATTAAGCTTAAACCTTAATTGAATAAAGTAAATGGGATGATGTTATTTAACTAAGTAACTTAGGATTAAAGAAAGATGTGAGCAATATCACTTTCTATCAACATAAGGGTAGATTAAAGGAAATATTCTTAGCAAGAGCTTTACGAGAATAAGGCTATTTAAAATAAGCAATTGAAGTTTGGGATCAAGGAGTATAGATTAATTTTTGGAATATAGAATTTTACAATTAGAAAGGTATTAATCTAAAATATATAGCTAATGAATTAAGAAATTAAAGTAAATTCACAGAAGTGATGGGATTTTGGGATGAATAAATTTAAAAAGAAAAAAATAATATTTATTTTTATTAAAAAAAAGGTATGAAGAATAATAATTTTAGCTGATTGTCTAAAAGAATAAAATAGGTTTTAAGAGATCTTCAATTTATGGGATGAGGGAATTAAATATAATTCAAATAATATTACTTTTTATATTGAAAAAGGTAATATTGGAATTTTATCAATATAGCAAAGCTACTAGAATAACTTGGTAGATCTACAGAAGTTATAGATATGTGGAATTAGATGGTTAGAATAAAAATAAATGAAATTAATTTTTATAAATAAAATGGTATCAACTGTTTCACATTTATAGCTCAAACATTAGCAAAGTATGGCAAATTTTAAGAAGCCATAGATTGTTGGGATTTTGGAATAGAGCATAATAAAAATAGTTATTTATTTTATTAAGCAAAATGTAAATTTTAGAGAAATAATGTTTTAGAGACAGAATTACAATAGTAAGGAAAATTGAATGAAATAATTTAATTTTGGGATCAATTGATTTAATAAAACCCAAACGATATATACTATTATTAATAATTAGGTAAATAAAATAATTAAATCTTATAGCAATCAGTTTAAATGAATAACAAAAATTTGAAGAAGTAATAACATTGTGGAACCTAGGTATATTAAATAATAAAAAAAACTAATCTTTTTATTAAGAAATGAGTAAATAATGTTATTTAATATTTTCTTAAGGCAAGGCTTTAAAAGATTAAGGAAAGAGAAATGAAGTCTTAGAATGTTGGGAAATAGGCATTTAAAACAATATATAGAATCTTTATTTTTATTAAGAGAAAGGTATTCAACCAATAGAATAATTTTAAGCAAATACTTTAAAAGATCTTAAAAAGTTTTAAGAAGTCTTAGAATTTTGGAATTCTTTAATAAAAAATAATTCTTAAAATCGTGTTTTTTTTGATGAAATGGGTATCGAAAATTTATAATAATATTTAGCAAATGCCCTAAGAGATTAAGATAAATTACAATAAATAATTGATATTTGGAAATTGGGGATTGAGCATAACAAGAATGATATATATTTTTATGAGAAAATCAGTAAATGCATAATTAAAATTTTAGCTTAAGCACTAAATGATTAAGGTAAAATTCAAGAAATTATAGAAATTTGGAATTTAGGAATTGAAAATAATAAAAAGAATAAAATCTTCTACTAAGAAAAAGGTGAATCAATAATTAATTTTTTTAGTTAAAGCTTTAAATGATTAAAATAGAATAGATGAAGTTATAGAATGTTGGAATTATGGTATTGAAAATAACAAAGATAATTAATAATTCTTAATCGAAAAAANAAATAATATTACTTTTTATATTGAAAAAGGTAATATTGGAATTTTATCAATATAGCAAAGCTACTAGAATAACTTGGTAGATCTACAGAAGTTATAGATATGTGGAATTAGATGGTTAGAATAAAAATAAATGAAATTAATTTTTATAAATAAAATGGTATCAACTGTTTCACATTTATAGCTCAAACATTAGCAAAGTATGGCAAATTTTAAGAAGCCATAGATTGTTGGGATTTTGGAATAGAGCATAATAAAAATAGTTATTTATTTTATTAAGCAAAATGTAAATTTTAGAGAAATAATGTTTTAGAGACAGAATTACAATAGTAAGGAAAATTGAATGAAATAATTTAATTTTGGGATCAATTGATTTAATAAAACCCAAACGATATATACTATTATTAATAATTAGGTAAATAAAATAATTAAATCTTATAGCAATCAGTTTAAATGAATAACAAAAATTTGAAGAAGTAATAACATTGTGGAACCTAGGTATATTAAATAATAAAAAAAACTAATCTTTTTATTAAGAAATGAGTAAATAATGTTATTTAATATTTTCTTAAGGCAAGGCTTTAAAAGATTAAGGAAAGAGAAATGAAGTCTTAGAATGTTGGGAAATAGGCATTTAAAACAATATATAGAATCTTTATTTTTATTAAGAGAAAGGTATTCAACCAATAGAATAATTTTAAGCAAATACTTTAAAAGATCTTAAAAAGTTTTAAGAAGTCTTAGAATTTTGGAATTCTTTAATAAAAAATAATTCTTAAAATCGTGTTTTTTTTGATGAAATGGGTATCGAAAATTTATAATAATATTTAGCAAATGCCCTAAGAGATTAAGATAAATTACAATAAATAATTGATATTTGGAAATTGGGGATTGAGCATAACAAGAATGATATATATTTTTATGAGAAAATCAGTAAATGCATAATTAAAATTTTAGCTTAAGCACTAAATGATTAAGGTAAAATTCAAGAAATTATAGAAATTTGGAATTTAGGAATTGAAAATAATAAAAAGAATAAAATCTTCTACTAAGAAAAAGGTGAATCAATAATTAATTTTTTTAGTTAAAGCTTTAAATGATTAAAATAGAATAGATGAAGTTATAGAATGTTGGAATTATGGTATTGAAAATAACAAAGATAATTAATAATTCTTAATCGAAAAAAGTAGTTGAAATTTAATTTTAGTTTCTTCATTAAAAAATCAAGGTAAGATTAAGGAACTTATACAATTTCTGGATTAATAAATTAATGAAAACAAAAATATAATAGATTGGTATGATGAGAAATGTATTTATTTATTAAATTATTAGCTAAAGCATTAATAGAAATTAATCTATTTAATCAAGCTCTTCGTTTTGAACGTCTAGTAAACCCAAAATTTAAAAGTTGCACATATTATAATATAAAACATTAATTATGATATTTATCAATTAACAATTTTATTAGTTTTTTTTTAATTAGAAATATTTCGAAAATATAAGAATCCAAATAAGTTGAATTCAAATTTAAAAATTAAAATTTAATTCCTTTTTTCAGGTAAGTGTAAAAAGTGAATTTAAAATTTCAAAAGTATTTGATTACATGTTCTAAATTCTTAGAATTCAAAATAAATATGTAATAATTATCTATTTATTTTTTTTTCACAGAAAAATAAAATTTAATTCTTACCATTTATAATTAAAATTAAAATCTCTGTTTTTCAAAATAGTGATATGCTAAAATTTTGTATAGAAATAAAAACACTTAAGGAATTGGTGGTTAGAAAAAAAATGATTAGAAAATTAATAAAATTCTTTGCCAATATTTTAATGAAGGCTAGAATTAAAATTTAGCTTATAAGAAAAAGATAAAGTTAAAGTTTAATATAATATTCTAAATGAATAATAATAAAAAAAGAAAAATAAATTTAGTTTCTCTTTGCAGATTTTAGTGTATAGAGACAAATATATATCCTTTTTTTTTACAATTGAGAATAATAAAGGATTGGAATTCAATAAGCTTGGTATGGTTAGTAATAATTAATTGATAGATAATTTGTAAAAAGTATGAGGATATGGATCTGAAAATGCTTTTTTACTATTTTTAATTAAATAAAAAATAATAAAAAAAGACTGTGAAATGATAATTAATATACTTAAAGGCAGACATTTAATTTGATAGAAATATTTCTTAAATCTAATATCATTTCAATTCATTATTAAAAATTTAAAAAGGTATGGAATCTTTATAGCAAATTTAAAATATACAACATAAATTATAGAAATGCTTAAATAAAGACGTTGTGCTTAAGATTATTAATACTATTTAAATAAATCCTATGTTTTTTATTAATTCAATGTTAAGTAATTGTCAAAATCTGAAGCATATGGAATATTCAATAAAATGTAAAAAGTTATTGGAGTTTAAACTGTAAGACTAGTCATAACTTTTATTTGGAAGTAATATGTTTAAATCTATAAATGAAAATTAAAGCATAATAATTTTGTTTAAAAGTTCACTTTTCATTTTATTTTAGCATCAATTCAGTATAATCCTACATTTTAGTGTAAATTTTTTGAAACTTAGTTAACTTATTTCTTTTTTTAATTCTTCTAAAACATAAAAATAATCATACTTTAAAAATTAAATACCAATAATTAGCATAAAAGAATTCAATAAAAGTATTTTTTAAAATTATCCTTAAAAGTTCTAAATTTTTCCTTCTATATTCATAAAGTTAGATGAAGAATTTATTAATGAAGGCAAACCTACATTTTTCAATAAAAGTGATTATTTGTTGTGAGTATTAATGAATTTTTATCGAATGTGTGAATAATAAAAAGGTTTTTGTAAATAATATTTTTATAAATTTTATAGAACAAGAAAAATAGTTAAAAATAATTAAAAATTAGCTTTGATTTCATTATTGCATCATTTATTCAAATCATTCTTCTTGAAGTTCTTTGATATATTTTTCACTTTACGCAATTGGAGTAACTCTAGAGGATTTTTATTTTTTAACTTCGAAAATTTCAGCCATTTCATCCACTCTTTTTTATTTCCTATAATTTTTCATATGATTATTAAATTTACATTTTTTCTAAAACAAATGCAGTGATCGTATTTCTAGAAAAACTTTAAGAACTTTCTCTTATAGATTTTCGAATAAATTATTATCTTTCTTTGGCTTAGGCTGGACTTCTTAGACTCAAAGGTATTGTATCAATATTTTGTTCCATTTATCTTTCCATGGCAATTTACCATTAATAATTTTTAAAGGCTATAATTTCTTTAGCTTATGGAATTAAAAATTATTTTAATTTATGGTATAATTTAGCAACTCGTTCACGTTATTCATGACGATTTGTTAATACTCTCTTCATAATAGGAATTTAATATAGAAATGGGAATAAGTTTCTAATTGAATCACGAAGCTTATCAAATTTTTCAGCAAAATTACTACTTTTTTCTTTCAAATATTCAATTAAAATCTTAGATATTAAAGTATATAACATATTAAGATTCAAAACAGATATAATAATAACATAAGGAATTTGTATTTCTTATGTATTAGATTAATCTGATACATAAATACCAATAGCCAAAGCAATTGAAGCTAAACAAACATTTGTAGAATAATAATCTAATTTATTAAGATTATTTAGATTATAAGGTTTATATTTTAAACTTAATTCCAAATACATTCCAATAATAAGTGATATAATTGTTGCTTTAATTATAACATTATCATCATAATAAGTTAAAAAAATAATCATTAATTCTTTCTAAGCTATTTTGATAACTTCCCAAAAATAAGCAGTTTTAGTGTATTCATTATATAAATAACCCCATTAAAGTCTAACTTTTTTATCATCTAATTAATTAGAATTACTATAAAGACCATAAAAAAAATAAAGTGGAATAATAACAGCAAGTAATAATAACATAGGTAAACATAATTCAAGCATCCATTTTTCATGATTAGCAGTATCAAATCTATAAGAAACATTAGATTATATCCATTTATATCCTGAAATCTCTCTATATGATACAAGTTAAACAAATCCTCCAATTAAACTTGGTTGTAAATATATGTACATATAAATAAGTGTTGTAGTAATAACACTTCTATTAAAAGTGACATTTTTTAATTTAACTGCCAGTAAATAACAAATTAAAAAGAATGTAATATAAAGAAATGGCATAATAACTTACCAAATCATTCTAGCATATTAAATTTCAAATTAAAAAACATGAGATAGAAAACAATCCAATGAATAAGTCATTGCCTAAATTGGAGATCCAACTGCATTTATTGTACTTTATAGTCCAATAGGTAGTTTCAATTAAAATGTAGATATTGATGAAATAATCTATAAGTAATTAGTTAACATCTTTATCAAAATAGCAGATTGATTAGAATTTTATATTACTGCTAATCCTAACATCATAATATTGATAATTCTCACAAATTCTTCAATAGCTTTTAAAGTACTTTGAACTGAAATCAATATTGATATTAAAGTCCTAAAATATTAATAATAAACATTACCAAATACTTATAAAAGTTATAATTAATGCATTTTTTTCTTTTTCTAAACATGATCCACAAGAATATGTTGAACTTACAGAATAATATCCATCTCCTCTTATATTATATAAATCACATTATTCACATAATGCTCCAATATGTCCTAAAAAACAAGAATTATCACCTTCTTCCCATCCACCTAAACAATTTTCAGGTAAATTCAGACAATAACTAACTATATTACTTTAAAAATATGGTCTCCAATATCCAAATTTTAAATTTAATAATGCTGGTTAAACATTTGTTGTTGATACATCATCTTTTAATTCACATTTTTCAGAATTTAAATTTAATGAGAATAGACCTTAATCACTATTGCAAGGAATACATGAATAATCAGTATTATTTTTAATCTCTCCATATTAACAACTTAAAGTCTTTATATTAACTCTTAATTTATAATTAGAATGTGTATTTATTAAGTTATATGGATATTTTTTATTATAAATTGGAATAAATATTGAATTGCATCGAAACTGTAATTATAATACAATTTCAGTAGGCAAAGCATTATCAAAATTTACAATCAGTTCATCTAAATTATAATCTTAAGTTTAGTTATTAAAACTGATATTTTTAAGATTAGTAAAATTATTACTAAATATATTATCATCATTTAAAACTGAACTATTTAAAATTCTACTATCAATTTCACAAAATGAATTTTATAGATTTTTCATCACACTATTATCCTTACTCAAAGCAATCACTCTAAACTTTTAATTGAAAGAAGAATATGTTTTATTTATTTTATTGAATTATTCATATAGCGAAATCTTTTAACCACTTGGCAATAAAATATACTATTATTTAATTAATTTACTAGATGAAACTATTACTTATTAAATTAATAATTCTTATGTTTCTTATATTGTTATTGTTTATAAATAAGAACTTTCGTCATCTAATGTAATCGTTAATTTTTAAGGTAATGAAACCTTATCATTTCCAAAAAAATCAGCTTTGTTATTATCAATAATAGTTGAAAGTTTAAAATAATCCATATCTTATTGATCAATTAAATTAATTCCTCCTCCTATTTAGGCTGAATTGTGTTATATTAAACTATTTGTAATTAAAACATCTTGTTTCATCTTAATGATCATAGCTCCTCCTTTTCCAGATGCATTATTAAATTAAAAAATTGAATTTTAAATCAATATTTTAACATTTTCAGCAAATAAACAAGTTCCATTTTATGCTTGATTATATTAACAAAAATAATTATCTATAAAAATTTCCAAATTAAGAGATTATAAATATTTCTCTTAATTTGCAAGAGCTCTTCGATTAATTAAAGAATTTTCTTTTTTAATATAAAAACATCCATAAACTCCACATGAAGAATTAGTAATTTTGAGTTTCGAAATATATTATTTCATTAAGAGATTTTCAATTTTCAAAAAGGAATAATATAATAATCCATTCTAACAGAAATTACAATTAATTTATGAAAAAACTAGATTATTCAACTTTATTTAACTTTATCCTGTAAGATCTAAAAATTATAATAATCCTGATTCTGTATTTTCAATCATTAAATTACTTTCTTTTCCATTTTATTATTTGATTGAGGATAACAGGCATTCTCCATAATTAAGTTATTAATTAATATATTATGAAAATAAATTTAAAGGTGCTTATTTATTTTAGGCATTTTGAATACATTTAAAATATACAGAGTAATCTTTATCATCTTATTACAAACAATTATAGTTCTTTAACTATAATACCACAGTAATGTTAGATATTATAAGACCACTAATCTGGATATTATTAGGTAGATCTAAAGTAAGTAATAAATTTTACATTAACTTGGATGCAATCTTAAAATTAAATTACTTATAAGACTATTTGATATTTTAATTTTTTCAATAGAAACCATTTAAGCATTATTTATTGATAATACAGATTCTAAAATTAAATTATCAATTTCAATATTTAAAATGATTATATTACTAGGTGAATCAATATAAAATAAGGCTCTACTATTTGTAATTGCTATTTGTTCTGTTTTAGATAATTTAGTATATTAATTTAAGTAATTTGTAAAACCTTCATTTGTATTTTAAATAATAAATTAATTAAGATTTACATATTATTAATTTGAAGAAGTAGAAGAAAAAGTGAAAAATACTATTGATCCAAGTTTAGCATATACATTTTTAATTTAAAAATTCTATAATGTGATATTAACTTTTGGAGAATCAGATAGTATATAAATAAAACCTCCTTGTTCCTTAGCTGCAATATTTTCTATAAATATTTGTTAAAAAGTAATTTGAAGAGATTATGCTGAAGTGCTATCTAAATTTATTACTCCTCCAAATCCAAACTCTTGTGAAAATGTAGTTGATATATTTTTAAATTAAGTTTGTTAAATAGTCATAAGACTATTCTTTTATGCCATAATTTACAATGCTCCACCAGAAGATCCTACTGATTATTCAAAATTACAGTATTAAATTTGAAGATTTTCAATTAATAATTATGCAACTCCCGAGGTAGATTTAACTTTGAAAATTTAGTTCAGTTGTTCAATCGATACTTTTTCTTATTCAAAGAATCCCCATAATAAATAAAATTAAATTAATTAATAGTTAAAATAACCATTCTAAAAAAAAGTACAATTCTATAATATCAATGTCTGACTTTTAATATAGATTAAATTATCAGTGCTATTGTAAACTGTATTTTAAAGGAAATTAGAATTTTTAATAGTAATAACACCTAAAATACAATTTAAATTTAAGAGTAAGGAAGAAATTTAGAGATTATTTTAAACATATTCATGCAAAATATTACCTGAAAAAGTTATATTATATAAATCTATATTGGTTTATTGAACTGAATCTATAAAGATTATTGCAGTTTAGTATTATGAATTAGATAATAGTAATAGATTTGATTCAACTATTATATTATTTAATAGTATAGTTTCTAATTATTGTTGCTTTCCTTTGTCAGCTGATTTATAGTATATAATTGGTGAATTATATGATTAAGTCTATACAATTTACATATCTACTATTTCAAAATTAAGAACTGAAGTAATAAATAGAGATTGTAAATAATATTCACCTTTCACTTATTGTAATTAACAGTCTAGATATTAATGAAGTCCTAAAAATTTATATTCATCTCCTTAAGTGATCTTACTACTGGTTATTTTTAACTATTTAGCTTCAACTATACTGAAATCAATCAATCCAATTCCTCTTATTATATTGAGTTCTGAAATTAGAATCTAATCTATAGATATATAGATTATACAAGAACTTTAAGTATTTAATTTAAAATCTTGGCTGATTGATTAAACATAATTATTTGAGATTTAAATATTTTAAATCATTACTTTTGAATTAACATTGTTGTATTTATCAAGCAATAGTAATTTGGTTGTTTAATGATATTCATTCTCCTGTATTATTAGATTGAATAATTCTATTTGTAAGTATTCTAATTAGAGTGAATTGGAATTTAAAATTCCAGAGCTTTTTTCTCTAAATTTACAATCTTTAATAACGAAGTCATAAATCTAATTATTATTATTCAAAATAATAAGAGTTGAACTTTCAATAAAGGAAGTATGAAACTATATTCCAGAAATTGTCACTTTTTTAAAAAGGTAAAGATTTAAGAAGTTTAAACAATTTAGTACATCTATTTAAAATTCAATCTTGCTCATATCAAAAGATCCAAATTATTGAGATATTGATGTATCTATTAAAGTTGAATTAGAAAAATTTGCTTGAATAACTCCATCTGTAATTGAAATGATATCATTTTTATTAACATTAAAAAAGAGAGTTACTTAATTTTGAAGAATTGAATTAAGAATTTTAAAAGATGAAAATGTTATTTATTTATCATAAGTAGTATCTGCAATATAAATGAATGTATTTATGGTATTTTAAATAAGATCTATAATTTAGAAATCTGTTAAATCTAGTTTCTTAACATCATAAAAAATGAATCTAGATTAATCATTTTCTAAATTTAGTTACTAATACTTAATTGATTTCAAAATAATTATTTATGGTAGTCTACTAAGAAATATTATTTATTTTAATTTATTATTATTTTATGGATTGAATTAAGCATCTTGTATTGTAATTTTATTGAAATTTTAGAAAGTGATAGTTCTCTCAAATTCAATAACAGTATGTGAGTTTAATTAAATATTTAATTCAACATTTCTAATATAAGTTTAAAATTTACATAGTAGAAAATATATTTTGACTAAAAACTTATTAAATAGTAGCATTTCCATAAATTTAACAAATTTAAGGTTTGATACTTAGAATATTAATAATAATAGTTTTGATTAACTTTGAATTAGCTGATAAATAAAAATGATTTGTTTCAAACTAGATTATAAAATGATTATAATTACTTCTTTAAAACTATTTCCGGAAATAAGATCTTCTAAGAGTATATTTTTTAATTTAAATTAATTTTATTCATAGGTTGATTATATTGCATTTAAAGCTAGGGTAAATTCTTCTTTCGAGCAATACAAATTAATAGGAATAATAAATGATCGTTCACAACTATCTGTATTTGAACATGCAATAAAAGTTCCCAATTCTTAATCATAATAGTAATCTTGATCATCAAAACTTTTTAAACATTAATAGGTTGAAGTGAAATATTAATGATTATTAAATAAAGGATTAATAGATGAGATTTCATCATCTGCTCTAATTCTACATAAGGCACAATTTTATGGGCAAGTAATACATTAATTTTCAGATAAGCTAAGTTTTCTACCTTATTATTCTAGTTCACATCTAATACATTAATTCTAACCATTAATAAATTAACACTCTAAACAGGATTCTGGACATTCTTTAATACATTTTTATTCAACTAATTCATATCCTTTGATACACATTGTACATATAACTTCATAATCGTTTTTATTTTCACTTTAGGCATAAAGTTTAAATGGATGATTATTATTAATATTAATTGCAATTTAATATAAGGCTCTAATATTGATTTTCCAGTAGTCTTTTGTAATGTTTAATTATTGTGCACAGTTATAACAATTCAATTAAGAAGGACATACATAACATTTACCTGAAATTCTATCTGCATAATATCCACTTTTACATTCCAAACATATATAAACAGAAGCTAAGCCATTAATTTTATCTATTAAACAAGTTGCACAATTTTCAATGTATCCAGGACATTATCTATTAAATTAAATTATTTAGGAGGTTTCTGATTTATAATAATCAGTAGAAATCAAACAATATTATAATGATGTACAAATATAGTTCTAATAATCATCAAAAGCAATAGTAATCATCTCTCCCATTGGAGTTACGTAATATTCAGCAAACATCAATACATTTAATATATTCACATCTAATACTGTGTCACAAATATATTAAACATATGAAAAGTAGCAGCTAACATCTCTCATTGAAAGACAAATATGGGAATTAAGTATTACTCCATATCCATATTCACATCTACCACAAGTTGTATCAATATTATCCCAATCATCTCTTGGCATAAAATATAAATCCAGTGTATTTATTTAGTAATCGTAAGATACTGCTTAAAAGGCATATTCACAATGTTTGATAGTGTTTTCTAAACAATTAATACCATCAAAGGATAGAAAATATTTTGAATCATCTAAACATTTAAAACATTTTAAATAAGATTTATTTATATCTTTATCATTGTATTTTTAACAAAAACTACAATAATTTCCACAAGGAAGACAATTTCCATTATCTAATGCATATTAGTTGATACAAGTCAAACATTATGGAGTGTTTGTATCATCATCATAAATACAAGATAAACAAGTTATAGGGCATTAATAATATTATTCATTATGAAGATACATACCATCTCTAACTTTTTAACAATTTCCATCTGAAGATGACAATAAACAATTTATATTTGTAAGAATACAATCTCCATTTAATTAATAATAGTTAGGTTTGCATTTCACATATATAGTTTATCCAAAATGTTAGTATTTTGCTTTAAAACAATTAATAGAATCTAATTCAGGTTCACAATAGTCTAAGTAACCTGAATGAAGAAATAGCTATCCATTTTAATCAATCAAATAAAAGTCATAATCATATATATCTCTTTTTTCATATTTATATGCATCCGTCTATGTCAATTTCTTTGATATCAAATCGAATTTACAAATTGGCTTTAAATACCAAGTTAATGGATAATAAATACAATCAACACATAATATATCTATAAAATTAGATTATGGACTTAATAATAATAATAAATTTATTAATACCATTTTATGCAAATATTTTAACCGTTTTCATTTTTTAAAATGAAATATCCAAATTAACATTATGAATCTCCAAGAGGATATTATTCTTAAACTTCAACAGATGAAAAATGATAATCAAATTATTAACAGACTTTCTCATCTTAAACATCTACATATCCTAATAAACATTAACATTTCTTTTATTCATTTAAATAGTATCTATTTAAATTTTAATCACAGGTTAAACAATTATTTTAAAGTGGTCCATCACAAGTTAAACATGTATAATGACATGCTATAATATATATATTTAAATTACCATTAAAAAGCAGTTCTTTTTCATTTACATAATTATATTCAAATTTAAAATCAAAAAGTGATGCTTAAAGTAATTCATTAATATATTCATCTGATCCTATAAATACATAAAAAGGAGAATTTGTTGGTTAAGAAATATCACGACAAATCTCTAATAAATTTAGTTCATTAAAGAATTAAATATTAATACAACTTTTTTTTCCAGGAATAGTAGAACCATACTCATATTTTAAAAAATGCCATTATTGTAGTCCTTAAAAATAATATTCAGAATAAATATCAAATAATATATCCTAAATGACTTAAATAAAATCATCAGGATACCAACCAATAGATCCCATGATTGGAATTTTATGATAATCTAAATAAATACAAATCTAAGTAAATATAGTTTCACGTTTATTAAACCAAACTTGTAATAAAAATATTTCATCTCCAAAAGTTGCTCTATCAAAATAATTTTTAAAAAGACTTATTCTAATCAATGGATAGATTGAAACTTAAATTACTCTAGAAATATCATATTTAACCCATCCAGAAAGACAAAATTTACTACCAAATTAATTAATTGTATATTAAAGAGATGTATCACCTTCAAAAATTTATAATCCTTTGATAAAATAAGTTGTTTATTCACCTTAAATTAGAGAAGGAATTTAACAATTAATTGTCATATATTCAAATAAATCTTAACCAAGTTAATCAATCTTATTGACAAATATTTTAGACAATCTTCCTTTAAATACATTAAGATTTAAATTTTCAATCTTATTAGAAATAAATATAAATATATTACATAGCCTTTTCCTCCTTATATTATTTAAATATAATCTTATTCAATATTCATTGTTCCACTCTATCTAATTTAATCTGTCATATCAACTACAATCTTTCCATCTAAGAAATTAAAGGTTATAAAGCTAAGAATCCATTTAGCTTCATAATTTATTGGTTAAAAATTAAACTCTAAACTTATCTAGTTACTTCCTAAAATAATTATTTTATGCTAAACTAACATATTTTATCGATCTATATAAACAAATCCTAACAATGAATTGCTTATACTTCCCTTCACTAAAAATAATAATTGTCCTAATTCAGCATCTGTTGAAATAAAATCTTATTCCACTTAAGGAATATTCTTTAAACTTAATTGTGGAATACAAAGACTCCAAAAACCAAAACCAAATGAATCCCCAACATCCAAAGTAACAAAAGAATCAAATTGATTTATTTCATATTGAGATTCAACAGGTATTAATGCCTATTCATATTCATTATAAACACAATTCTAACTATACACAAACCTTAAAATTATGACCATTAATGGAATCATTTAACAAACTTTATCACAGGTAAACATTTTTAACATGAAAATTTGATTTTTTAAATATTATCAAGATATGCTAATACCAAATGTATAATTTTTATTATAGTATATTCAATCACAATAAGTATAAATAAATATTTAAGGCAAATGTTAATCCAACAAGCTTTTGAGATATCTCTTCATAAAAATGTCTTTATATATTAACAGAACATTAAATCTGGACAATTTATTCACTGGATTCATCAATTTCATCAACTTTTAAGAATTTTTAAATTGTAATGATTCTAATAACCATTTGATTTAACCCTTATATCAAGTGAAGTTTTAACTCAAAAAATCTAATTATTAGATTTACATCATTTTTTATTTCTAAAATTTTAATTTTAAATTTTAAATCTTCTTCCTTAAAAGGAATAAATAATAAATATTATTTGAAATATAAAATTTTTTATGAATAAAAAAATTTTATATTTCATTTTAATATTCAGAATTAAATTAAGCCTATTTATTGTCTTATTTCCTGTCTCATCATATTAAATTTTAGAATTATATAAATTTTGCAATCCTTTGATTCATTATTTATTTTGTTTAAATTGGTTTTCAAATAAAATGTTAAAGTATTAAATTGGATTAAATAATATCACACCAAACAGAAAATAAAAAAGATTAATAATAAAGGATTCATATCTCATTAAACATTCATAGCTATAAATTTTTTAATTAGGAGATGCTTCTTATAAATAAGTTCAAGGTTAAATAATTTGTATATTATTTTAAAATATATAATAAATGTATTGTTTCATTTGATAAAATAAATAACCAATTAAATCTTATTAGTCAAATTCTAAATAAATTTTTGTATCTTGTTAAATTTTACTATATCTTTGCCTACTTTAAATTAATTCTTAAACTTGTTTTAAAAAAATCGCTTTTTCTTCTATCCTTCATTCAATAATTTTATATATAATTACGTTGTTTAAATTTCTAGACATACATTAAATTTAGTGAAGCAATCAAGATTTATATTTTTTATTACAAAATAATTTATTATCAATACAGTTATTTTTGTCTTACAAATACTATTTATTCTTTAGACTGCTTGTGTTAACAATGTTAATTATATAAATTTTCGATATTAATAAGAGTGGAAAATTAAAAAAAACTAAACTAATGATTTAATAAAAATAAAATATTTTATAACAATTTATTCAAACTTTATTGAAGTCTATTAAGGTAAAATATAATACTTAAATTATTAATTCTCTTTGTGTTAATTTTTCTATCTATGCTATTTGATTTATTAATTTTAAGCGAAATTATAGATATAGCAATAATCAATAACATGTCATATTTGAGATTTGTTAATAAGAGAAATTATTTATAGATTTATACTCAATAGAATCATTGTTTCTTTGTTAATCAAAAAAGAAGGATAAAATTTAATATATATTATATATATGATAAATAGATTAAATGAAAATAGATTTGATTATTGATAATATGATATGATAATTTTTTATTCTTTATATTAAATTTTTTAATATCAAATAAACCAATAAAATATTAAATAAATTTCTATTAAAATTTTTAAACATAATGTTTTTTCAGTGTTATTATTTAAATAATACAATAATAATAGAATTTTGTAATGACAGATATCTATGAGTAAAAAAAATAAGATGAGTGTTAAATAGATTCATCAGAACAGGAAAATAAAACAACTAATAAAATAAATACACTTATAAATGAATAATAGGATTAGACTTATTAAGAATAGCAACCTTTAAATGTTTAAGAAGTTTAAAGTGAACATTCGATGATTACAATATAAGAAGAAGAAGAATAAAAGTTTTATCCATACTATCATGGATAAAATTATTGGTTTATTTCTAAGTTTGCCTTTTTAGATCTGACAGGATATTAATTATTTCTAAAAAAGCATGTATTAGAAAAAGGGCATAAAATTGAAGAAAAACACTTGCCAATATTATCACCTTGGGAAGATTTGAAAAAAACAGTATAAAATTCAAAATATAGAGTAAATTAATATAAATAAATTAATTGTGGTGATATAGTTAAAATAATATTTTTTGGCTAATTAAAATGGTTAAGTTTGGGATGTTTTTTTTGTCATTTTACAGAAGCTATTGCAAAAAGTTGTATATCAATAGTAATGAGTAAATTGATTAAGAGTGTAGGAAGAGATGAAAAAGATAATGCATATGGATTTGCTGTAATTTTAACATTTTTAAATTTGTTAAGTATTGTAACTATGCATCATGGATATAATTTTGCAATGATATTTTCATCAAAAGCAAGAATGACACTTATAAATTTAGTGTATTTAAAATTAACAGAATTAAGTGCTTATTCAATAACAGAAGCTAATATAGGTAAAATTTTAAATTTAGTATCTGGAGATATTAATTATCTTGAATATGTATTTATTACTATATTTTACAGCAGTATTTGTTTTGTTTCAATAATTTTTGGATGTTATATATTATGGGATAGATTTAGTGGACCTATAGGAATGATATCATTTGCTATAATATTTATAGTATATCCAATTTAGATAGTTCTTTAATATTTTAATTCAAAAACACTTAAGAATTCAAAGCCTTATTAAGATCATCGTTTAAAACTTACTAATGAACTTATTGAAGGAATAAGACTTATTAAAATGTATGCATGGGAATAAGCTTTTTATAAAATGATTTCAATAATGAGAAAAAAAGAATATATTTGTTTGTTAAAAATAAATTTTAGATCAGCTTTAGATAGATTATTTAGTTTGATTTCTTAGATTTGGTCTAGCTTTATATTTTTTGTTATTTTATATTATGGAGGTTTTAGAGAAACAATGGATGTAGCTGAGATGATTTCCACAATTTAATTATTAACATTTTTTAAATTAAGTTGTGTATTTATGGTTTCTTATGGAATTTAATCAATAATTCATATAAAAGTATCATTTACAAGAATAGCAACTATTTTAAATATTGAGAATTCAGAAATGAAAAATTTAGATGAGATTAATGGAAAAGAATAAGAAAATAATTAAACATAAAATTATATAGGTCCTAGAATTAAATTATAAAATTTCACCTCATTTTGGACAAGTTAAGTAACTGATGAAACTAAACCAATTCTTAGAAATATTACATTAGAAATTTAAGAAGGTGAATCTTGGGCTTTTATTGGAAAAATAGGTTGTGGAAAATCAACTCTTTTACATGCATTCTTATATGAGATACCAGCATATAAAGGTTCATTCAAAATTGATGGTTAAGAAGCAAATAAGGGAATTTTATCAATAGCATATGTAGAATAAGAACCATTTATATTTCCAGATACAATTAGAAAGAATATTTTATATGGAAGACCTTATGATAAAATATTATATTAGAAAGTGTTATAAGCATCTTAATTAGAAACAGATTTATCTGAAATGAAATATTAAGATCATACAGAAATAGGAGAAAGAGGAATTACACTTTCTGGAGGATAGAAAGCTCGAGTATCTTTGGCTAGAGCATTATATTAACAAGCTGATTTATATTTATTAGATGATCCCTTATCTGCAGTTGATGCTAATGTAGCCAAAAATATATTTCATATGGCAATTAAGGATTTTATTTTTTCATATTAAATATAGAGAAACCCAGAAAAAAAGAAACCTATTGTTATTCTTGTAACTCATTAAATCTAATATGCTTTAGAATGTAATAAAATAGCTATTTTAAATCAAGGAGAATTAATTGCTTAAGGTTCTTATGAAGATATTAAATCAAACTTATACATGATTAATGAAGAACTAGCATAACAATTAAATAACATTAAAGAATCAAAATAAAAAGAATATGTAGTAGAACCTCCTAAAAAAAGAAAAAAAATTAAAACTAAAGTTACTAACAATCTTATTGGTAATGAAGCTGATCAATAATAATTAATAACTCTAAAAACATATTTTAGATATTTCTAATTTTGGAATATAATTATTATCATTTGTGTTTTACTTTTAGAAGCGGGTTCTGAAGTTATTCTTAATTATTATTAAAGAATTATTTCTCTTTTTTAAGAATATTAAGATTAAAATGATATTGATACTGCTTACTATCTATTAGGAATGTTAACTTTAGGTTTATTTATTTGTAATTTAGTAAAATATATATTGAATACATATTCAGTACAAACTTCTAATTAAAAAATACATTAAGAAATGTTAAAATCTTTAACATTAGCACCGGTTTCATATTTTGATGTTAATCCATCTGGAAGAATTCTCAATAGATTTTCTAATGATTTATCTTTATGTGATAATTAAACTAATTCTGTTAGTTTGGATGTTTTGGAAATAATAGGTAATTTCTTATTTGCTCTTATAACATTAGCAATTTTATAACCCTATTTCATAATTCTAATTGTTTTTATTATCATAATAGATGTATATTAGTTTAGCTATGCTAAGAAAATTATAAGTTAATTAAAAGAGGTTGAATTAATGTAAAAAAGTCCTTTATTTGATTTCTTAAAGAAAACATTAGGAGGAGTAATTCAAATGAGAGTTTATCAATAATAAAATTGGTTTAGAGAATAATTTTTAGAGCTATCAAATAAATGTAATCTTAGTGGACTTTCATATTATTATTCTTCAAGATCTTTTGGATTTAATTTAGATATGGTAGGATTTATTGTTTAAACAATTGGAATATTTATATTTTTAAAGTTGAATTATGATAACATTGCAATTTTATCTTAAGGTTTATTAATATTATCTACATATAATGATTTATTATAATGGGGATTAAGACAATTAATTACATATGAAACATAAATGAATTCATATAATAGAATGTTTTAAATAATAGATATAAATCCAGAGCCTCCTCATTATATTAAAGAAGATGATAAACATACAAATTTTCCATAAGATGGAAGAGTTAAATTTGATAATGTTTTTATGAGATATAGATAGAATTGTGATTTAGTACTAAAAGGATTATCATTTGAAATTTAAAGTGGAGAAAAAGTTGGATGTGTTGGAAGAACAGGAGCAGGAAAATCATCAATTATTTAAGCTATTTTTAGAATGGCAGAAATTGAAGATAATAAAGATTCTAAATTATTAATTGCTGGTTTAGATATTAGAAAATTAGGTTTAAATAAATTACGTAGTAATATTGGAATTATACCTTAATCACCATTCTTATTTACTGGAACTATAAAAAGAAATTTAGATCCTTTTCATAATTATACAGAAGAATAATTGTGGAAAGCATTAGAATAAGTTGATCTTATAAATCATGTTAAATCATTATAAAATGGTATTTTAACTGATATGAGTGACGTTAATTCTGTTTTTTCTGTTGGTTAAAAATAATTAATTTGCTTAGCTAGAATAATATTACATTAAAAAAAAATTATTGTATTAGATGAGGCAACTGCTAATGTTGATATGAAAACAGATGATTTCATTTAAGAAACATTAAAAACTAAATTCTCAGATTGTACATTAATTACTATAGCACATAGATTAAATACAATTGCTGATTATGATAAAGTTATGGTTATAAGTGAAGGATAAGTTATTGAATTTGATACACCATTTAATTTATTAGCTAATTCATTAGACTCTATTTCTGTTGATAAAAATACTGAATTTTCTAGATTAGTAAAAAACACAGGAGAATAAAATACTTAAGCCATTTTTGATATTACCAAATCAAAATAACTAAAAAGATGAATTTTATTTTATGTATCATATTTTTAGACTGTTTTTGCTTTCTTAAATTTACTTCTAATATTTCATTTCATATTAACAATACGTTCTGACAACATAATTTTATCAATATATTTATGAAAATATATCATAAATATATTTCAAATCAATTATGAAATAATTCTGATGATATTTATAAATGGCTTTATATTTAAAAAAAAAATTTCATTTTATTTCATCTTTTGATAACAAATCTCTAATAAGAGGTTGATCAACATGATTCAATTTCATATCTTTTTTATTAAAATTAATAATTTGTAAATTATATCCCCTAGTTTGTGTTTTTAAGCTATTTCTTAAGATAGTTATATTTTCAAAATTTTTTATACTTTCTACATTTAAACTTCTAATTCTATTACAATGTTTGAAATTATTTCATAAATAAATTATCAAATAAATGAATATTTTAATTTATATACTATTAATAATTAATTTGAACAATTTATATTTTTCGATAAATAAAATAAAAATAAATAATTGTAAAATATACAATAAATGATGAATTTCATTAAACTAGTTAATCTCTTCAATAATAATAATATTATGTTATCAAAAATAGTTTTGACAAGATAAATAACACATTAAGAGATTAATTATATACTTAAATTTCAAAAATGATTGTTCAAGTTGTCTTATATAATTTTAATTTAGGAACCCTTAAATTCTCTTTCAAAAACTCATTCATTAATTAAAGAACGCATAAATTTAGTGAAATTTACTTAATTTATTTTGGCTAACCCTATATTTACCAAAAATAAACCATCAGGAACAAAACCAATACCAAAAAATTAAAAATCTGAAATGGTTAGGAACTAAAAATTTGACTAATTTTATCTGATAAAGTTAAAAATCAAATTCAATATCTTACAGAATTATAATTTTTTAATCATATACCATATATCCTGTTTTTATATTAATATAAATCCAAAAATTGAATTAATTCATAAGGAAGTATTAATTAAGTATTTTATAAATTTTTATCAGTTTTTAACTATATAATATTTGATTCAAAGTGATTCTTAAGTTGATTCGATAATGTGAAAAAGTCTATTTGTTTCTTAATTTTATAAATATTAAATCAAATCGGTTAAATAAAACTGAGAATAGATTAAGATTAAATATTAATTCAATATTAATTTAGATACAAAAATAAAATATAAGATGAATATAAAGTAATAAATTTTAATAACAAATAATTTGACATACAAAATCATTTGCTTTATTCTCTTAAAGCTTCCTAATATATTCCATAGAATAAGGAGTTTTGTTAATTCAATAATTCTTTAGTTGATCCACATTCTTTTAATTCTCCTTTGTCTAGAACTACAATCCTATTAAATATAAAAATGTAATAAATACTTATCACAATGTAATATAGTATTAATTCTATGAGCAATAGTTATGACAGTGCAATCCGAAAAAGCATTTTAAATAGTATTTTGAATTTTCTATTCTGTCTCAATATCTATATTAGCAGTGGCTTCATCTATTAAAATAATAGGACTTTTTTTGAGAACAGCTCTAGCTATACAAACTAATTATTTTTCACCAGCACTTAAATTGTCTCCATGATCATTGATTTTAGTATCTAATCCATTTCTTGATTCTATTAATTCTTTTAAGCAACATAGGCTAATAGCTTATTTAACTTCTTCATCTGTTCTAAGTTTAAGAGGGTCAATATTATCTCTAATTGTACCACTAAATAATGTAGGATCTTGCATAATCATTGTAATTGATTCTCTAAGTTATTTTAATGATAATGTAGATATATTATGACCATCTATTAATAATTATCCACTTATAGATTCTAAAATTCTTAATATTGTTAATGTTATTGTTGATTTTCCAGCTCCTGTTCTACCAACAATACCCACTTTCTCTTTTTGATTAATTAAAATATTCATATTTTTTAATGCCATAGGTAAACCTATACGATATTATACAGAAAAATTCTTAAATTCAATTATTCCATTTCTTGGCCATTATGGTATATATTTATCTATATATGTCTAATTATTTTGATAATTTTTTACTGCAACTTCATATCCTTTTTCTGGATTTACCCTATAATTTAATCAATAATATATTATACTTGGTATAAGCAACACATCTTTCAAATGATATAAATCCATTCTCTACACGTCCTAAAGATTAAACTGTTCCTTCAATATATTAATCTAAAGTTGATGCATAAGTCATCAATAAACCTGCATATGCTGGATTTTTTGTACTATAAAACATACAAAATACAATAGCAGTAGAATTAACAATAAAACTTGATAGACCAAGAACCATTCCAAACCAAGCATTTGCTGCAATTTATTCAAAGTATATTTTACGATTAATATCTTGATTTCTACCATGTTTATTCATAATTTAAGATTATCTTTAAAATGCCCTTATTGTAGTTATTCCCATGATAGATTCTGAGAAATAACTTACAATAGGACTTTTACTAATAGCCTCTAATCTAAAGAGTTCTCGACTAGCAGTCATATATATTCTTTATACTTTCCAACATAATATAAAATAAAGAATCATAGGTATAATAACCCAAACAGAACTTGTATATATATTTAAAAATGTATTAGCTAATAATGCAAATAAATAAGCTAACATCCAATTAATAGTCCAATAAAGATCTGAATCCACAACATTTAAATCTTTTGTCAATCTATTCATAATTCTGCCAATCGGAACTCTTTCAAAGAATTGACATTATGGTGCATACATTAAACAACTAACCATTTTATTATGCATATTATTTGCTTACTTACAATTGACTAATACATAAGCATATGATCTAAGAAATGCTAAAATACCATAACTTAAAGAAAGTATTGAATATATTGTTAAATAGAAATAGTTTTCTGTTTCTTCTCCATTTACTAAATCTTCACTAGCTTACTAAGTCCAATGAGCCATCCACAAAGATTGACCAATATAACAACCATCCCATAAGAACATCATTAAAATCAAAAATACAATAAATAAACGACCTGTCTATTTAATATAAGTAAGTATGATATCTAACGAAATTGATCCACTGTTTCTATCTTCTAATAACATTAATTCATCAACTTAATCTTTAATTTAGCTCTATTTTACAGTTTCTTCTTCAAATTATTATTTTTTCTCTAATTTTACTTCTTAAACAACTACTTATTTTTATTCTTATTATTCCTCTTCTTTTTTACCATCTTTATAAAACTTTTAATACACCATATTAAAATGTTCATTTTATTTTATTTTATTAAATGTTCCTTATTCAACTATTATACCATTATTTATAAAATAGATATAATCAGTATATAAACAATAATTTAAAGCATGAGTCACTAAAATTCTTGTCTTCTATTTTAAATAACCGTTTAAACATTCATTAATTATAAATTTACCAACATGAACATCTACAGCACTTATTGGATCATCTAATAAATAAATATCACAATTGCTGTAAATTGCTCTTGCTAATGATACTCTAGCTTTTTATCCACCAGATAAATTTACTCCTTTTTCTCCAATCATAGTTTAATCTCCTTTTACTAATATCTTAATATCTTCATTAAGACATGAAAATTTTATTGCTTCATCATATTTTATTTAATCAAAAGGTAATCCAAAAAGAATATTGTCTTTTACAGTAGCATTTTAAATCCAAGTCTTTTAACTAACATATGCAATAGAACCATTTATTTCTATTCTTGGTTTATTCTCTTTGTAAATCATTTCACCCATTATAGCTTAGATTAAAGAGGATTTACCAGATCCAACATCTCCCACTATTGCAACAAATTATCCTTTTTCAATTCTTAAATTTATATTCTTCAAAATAGATTCTGATTCTACTTATTGTACAGGTTCAATCTTTTAACCTTTAGAGATTGAAGGATCTTATTACTTTTATTGAGGTTAATCTTTGTATTTTTACCAATAAAAAGTACCTTATTCAATTTTGATAGCTATATCATTATCTATTTCAGTTTTCATAATTTATGAAGTGACTAATGATTTTGAATCATCATTATTTGAGAGTTTTTTTGATGTTAACAAATCTGCATGAAATTGAGTTTAATTAATAATACAATCATTCATTAATTCATTAGTTAATAAAAATTTGGAAACTCTTTTAAATGAGATATTAGATTCTATTAAAGCATTAATGGCCATAGGTAAAAATAAAAGTGGGCCTTAAAGACTTTAAAATAAACTAATAATAGCAAAAGTATTAGCAGGAGTAAGATCATTTCCAATAGCTACATAAATTAAGAAAGTGGCATTTAAAATTAACATAGGACTTAACCAAACTGATAATATATTTAAACAAGATGCAAAGAATCTAGATTTTAATGATTTCATTTCTTGATTTCTCAATAAATTAAGTTTAGATCTAAAATATTCTTCATATGCATTAACTTTAATAAATTTAATTTATTAAAAGATTTCATTAGCACAATTAGTTCTTTTATCTTTATCTTTCATCATAGTAATTTAATATTATCTAATTTTTTTACCAACAAAAATATTAAAGATAGCAGTTAAAAAGATTACTCCTAAACCTCCAAGAAATGCTACTCCTATAAATTCAAACATCATAAAAATAGAAATGCCTATTTATAATGGTAATAGCATAACTTATGATAAATACCAACCAAACCATGATAATGATATTGCATCAACTTACATATAATTTAATACTTATCCTATTGTATGTTCTTTATTACTCTGATATGAAACATTCATACTTTTACCTAACAATGCCATAGACAAAATACTCATCCAATCATAACCAACTAATTTCTATTTTATATTATATATATAAATTACAATCTAATAAAGTGAATGTTACTCACAAATAACTGATATTATTCTCATTCCTATTATACTAAATATCAATATTAATCCTTCCTATATTTATTTCTCCTCTTTCATCAAATATTATATTGTCCATTTTATTAATAATGGATTTAATAATGATGTTCCAACATTTAATAACATCACTATTAAAACAAAAACACATTATTTTTATGACACACCTATCAATGACCAAATTAATCCATTCTTTTTGTTTTTCCTCTTTTCAAATTCCTTCGAAAATCGATAATATAATTATTCACTTGTATCTTCAAACCTTAAATCTTCTATCATGTTATCTTATAATGTCATCTTAGATGCAGTCTAAATTCTTATTTAATTTTACATTTATTGTACTAAATATCCAAAAGAAAAACAACCGCGATATTATGCCTGCTCTATTTCGTTTTGAATATGTCACTAATTCACTTTTATCCCTTTCAGCTTCAAATAAAAATGGAGCTTTCAAACTCACACTAGATTTATCCTAATTCATATTAGAGAATTTCTTATAAATTTATAAAGATATTTCTATAAATATTATTTTCTTTTATAATCTCTAATTCTGTTTGTTACCGAAAAAATATTCTCCTATTATTTATTATATAAATATAGAATATGTATTTATTTCTAATATTCTTTATCTCAATCTATTCAACCATAACTTTTATTTTAAAATACATTCAAAAAATTATTTTAATTTTCATGGAACTCTATCTTAAAAATACAATTTATCAATCTGTAACCAAAATATTATTTAAAATCTTTAGAGCAACATCTAAAAAAAACCTATATTTTTGGATTGCTGTATAAGTAACCCTTTATATATTATAATAATAATTCTTTCAATTGACTGTCTTAGTGTGACAGGTTCATAATTAAATGACCATAAATATACTTCTTACTATTATAATTTCACAGCAAACGCTGATGGATCTAATTTATAAGAATTAAGAGTAGTGTATGCTTAATTTAAAATTTAATCTTTATGCTAACTTTCAATTATTGGTAATCAATTTTCGACTGGTTGAGAATTCAAAATTTTAATTAATTTTAATATCAATATCCAAAAAAGTTGTTTATGATAATATATATATTATTTATAATACTGGTTGATCATATTAAGAATTTTATTGCCTATTTCATCAAAAATATTGAATCTAGTCAGGATAATACAAAATAAAAAGAAAAAAATCTGCTTCTTGTATTATAAATTATCAAGCAAATGTATTTCATATTGTATATAATACGATTGATTAGAAAATTTATTTAATCCAATAAATGCTTAAAGTTGTAATTTATTAGTTGAATTTAGTGATGTATTAAATTTCTAACATGTTTTACATCTAATTACAACTAATTCAGATGTTAAAATTTCAAAACTAATTGTATATATCACATTTTTTCAAATATTTATAAGAACTTTCAATTCAAAATATTATTTATTCAATTTTAATTCTTATACAATTTGAAATTTTAAAAATAATTATGTAAGAATTATTTTTTAAAACAATGAGATTTATGTACAAGGGATAATCATTTCACTATTAATTGTTCTATTTCCAGAATTGGTTTAAGTATTTTGAACTTTTTATCAAATATATTAAGTTATTGTGATTCTAAATGTAATGAATATCCTTCTAGTTGTGTTTTTGATGAAATCAATTCATAGAATTCTAAAGATTTAAATCATAACAATTGTATTAAATGGATTAATAATTGCAATGGAACAGTAATAGATTTGAATTTCGGTTCTGATTCTTAAAGGTCATCTTTTTATAATTATGTACTGATACTAGAATAAGTGGATTAAAAAAGAGCTTTTTATTAATCATCAAAATAATTATTGATTTTTATAATGAAAAAATAAAATAAACATTTATTTAATAAACTTAATAAAGAATACACTAATTCACAATTAAAAAAACTTTAATAGAAATTTTGTTAAATATATTTAAGTATGTAATTTGATAAAAATAAACAAGAGTTATAATAAATCAATATTATAAAATCTTATAATTTTAAATAAGGAAATTTCATTTAATTATTTGATCATTTTTATTTTAATGGAGGTAATTTAAAACCTGGTCTAATCTTAAAGTCTTTATTTTAGTATGTCTTTCGTTCACTAATGAATTCTGATTTTATGTGAGTAGGACTGTTTAATAAATTTGAAAAATTTTAAGATAAATTAGACTTATTTTAGTCAAAACCTACTTGCGATCTTTTTTTAGTAATTTAAATATTATCATTTTAAAATTTATTTTGCAAATATAGCTCGATTCTACCTAACATTAATTCTATTGATTAATGTTGTTTTTATGTTAAATTTTCTCTACCATTTTTAGTACTGTACAAGTATTTTGCCATTTAATAATTTTCATTTGCTTACTAAAATCTTCTTGTAATTATTCCTAAATTAGCTTTATTAATCCATCCAATAACATAGTTTGGGTTTTCTTCTATACATTTTTGATAGAATATTTCAGCTTAATCAAATTTTTTTTATTTTTCACAACATTTTCCTTAAGCATTTAAAATTATTGCTTTTTCAATTGAATTTGTAATTCCCTTAAAAGAACTGATTATTTAAAATGCATTTTTAAAATAAGTTTCTTTCTGTATTTAATGGGCATAATTAGATTATAAATTTGCATCTTAATTTTGTGGATTTTCTTTTTGGATATATTTCTAAGTTTAAATAGCCTCTATTTATTGTTGTTATTTTTATTATTCTTTATCAATTAAAAGTCTTGAATTCAATTCTTATGATGATTAATTTTATTTTTGAACTTCCTCTTATTAACCAATTATTATTTAATTATAATCTTTTGCATCAGAATGTTTTATATTATTTAACTATCCTTCTGGAAATTTTTACATAATAGCTTCTGCTTCTTCCAACTTGTTTTAAACTTGAAATATCTTATATAAAAGAAAATAAGTAACATATTCTTTTGGAATCAAAATTAATAACTATTTTATATATTTATCTATTGCTTTAGAATTGTTTAACTTAAAATTGCAATATACCAAATTTCTAAGAGTAGATTCCTATTCATTAATGTCTTTGCCATCAGTAGAGTTTATTCCTTATTCAAATTATACTATTGCTTCTTTGTAATTTCCTTTCTTCATCAAACAATTCCCAATTCCAATATTACATTATGACTAGAATACATTTTCACTTTTTAAAAATTTTAGTACTTAAAATAATTCTTCATAATGTTTTATTGATTAATCATACTATCTAAGATAGAATTCACAATCAGCTAAGTACAATAGCGATTCCTAATTTAATATTTTTTAAAGTGACCAACTTATCTCTAACTCTTCTATAGCTTCTTTTAATTATGAATAATTTTTGTCATTTTGATTTTTTAAATATCTATCTATTAACGATTTACCAATAATTTTTCTAAACAAAAATTCATTATCTTTATCTTTCAATAATTCTTATTTAGCTAATTCAATTGCCTCATCATATTTGCCAATTTCCATATTATCATATATAGTGTCAAGTGGATCAATCATGCAAAGTAAATATAATAAATGTATATATAATGGTATTTAACTATTTAAAATCGGATAATTCTATTACCCTAAATTCTCTGAAATTTATATATTTAAAAAAAAATCTTATTAATTATTACTCTAATTATTCTCTACGTTCTTAAAGCTTTTTAATTCCATCTAAATTAAACTAAATTAATGAAATATACTCAAATAAAGATTGCAGAGAAAAGCAATTTTAATAAAATAAAAGTGGATGCATAATAGAATAAAATCAAGAAAAAATAAATCACAAAACCATAATATTCTATAAATGTTTGGAAGAAAATTTTATCCTTTTAAATATATATATAATATAGAGCATTTTCCTATCAATAAAATCTCTCTTTTTCAATTGAATAAAATAATATAAACTTTTTGGCAGTGTGTTTTTAAACTATTGTTTGAATTTAAATTCGTTATTTAACCTTTTACATCAATTAAAATTAATTGAATAATTAGAAATCATATAAAGAATATGTTTTATTTTAAATAAAATATTTGAATAATTATTTTTCAAAATTAATGAAACGTTTTATATAAAATAAAACTTATTCTATTAATTTTATGTCTAGTATTTTGTACTTAAAATATGAAAAATATATTTAAATCAAATGAAGTTATTTTTAACTGGTTTAGCTATATAAGTTTAATAAAGTCAGCCACAAAATTAAACCATTCTTTAGTTTCTCAATCCACTTGTAAAAATGTAAAATACAGAGGGGATTGTTAGACTAATTATTGTACTTTGGATCTTGAATCATCATCATACTCAAATAAGCCTTTTACATAATTTAATAAAGATGATTGTGATGGTGTTTTAGATAATTTTTATTGTGTTTGGAATTATGAAACTATTGCTTATGACAACTTTACGTAATATTCTGATTCTAGTTTTAAAATAAGGGTGTAATATAATGTTATGGAAAGTGTGAATATTAATTCGATGTTAACACAATAGATTAAAAAGCAGGAATGCTCTATTGTATAGATAAAACATCAAAAGCAGCTTTGAGTGTTACTAGTTGTGATAAAATACCTTTAACTATTTTTTAATGATTTTTAACCCCAGATGGTAAATAATGTATTATTAATAAAAAGACTCCAAACTCTATGTTAAGTTATCAAAGGTTGCTATCTTAAAGATGTATATTAGCAAAAACCATAATAAATTTAATTTATAGAAATTATAAATTGTAATCAATTAAAATTTAATTCAAATTAAATTATGAACTGCTTAGTTGCAAAAAATAATTTGCATTGAATGTATATGATTATTTAACTCTATAATTTTTAAATAGTCTGCTTAGAAAAATTGATTAAATTTTCAAATTTATGTATAGTAAAAATTTTGATTTTTACATCACCAATTCTTTAATAGATTATTTAGAACGATTTCTCATTTCTTTTGGGTAATATTAGGGTTTCTGTCAAAAATTAATTACTGAACACTCAAGAATTCATAATCTATGTAAATAATAATTATTTATAGAGCTTCAAGATTGTTAATTTATCATAAAAATTTTTATGATATTTATATCAACACCATTTAATCATTAAAGTTGAAAAAAAAAAAAATATTTGAAACAATTTAAAAGAATTTTTTATTTTTAAAATCTTAAATGTTTATTCAGTTTAGACCTTAGCATTAATTAAAATTACTTTTATATTTATGTTTATAGTCATCGAAGTAATAATGAATTTTATTTCATAGATTCTCATAATTTCATATATCCTAAATTTTTCGAGATAACAATTAAATAAAATTATCATAAAAATAAGAATTTGTGTTAATTATCTTAGTAAATTTAGAGAAATATTTATTGAGAAGTTCTGCAAATTTTTTTTTTTTCTAAATAATTTACCATGTTTGTGTTAAATTAAACGCTTATGTCAAATTTGTCAGTCTATAATTTTATCAATTAATTCTTTCCAATTATATAACTGATTTAATTCGCAATACTAAATACTTTTTCCATGATTTCAATATCTTATTTCACTTCCTCTACATATTTAGTATCTGATTTTTAACATTGAAATCCCTTCACAATTATAATATTAATTAATTTAAAAAAAGAATGCAGCTTAAAAAATTTTTGATTTCATTTAGTGATACCGTACCTCAATAACTTTTCTTCTCTCTGGATCCTATCAAACTCTTTATTTCTAAAATCATTTATTTAGATATCTCCATATTAAAATTGAATTTTTTGCACAATATGTTGTTCAGAATTCAAAAAATAAAATAATAATTCTTTCAAAAATCTGGGATTAGGATTGGTGATTTACAATTTTTTTGAAGAACATCCAAAATTTCACAATGTCTATTTTATTATCAAAATTGTTCAGAGTATAAAAATTTACTTCTAAGTAAATTCCATATTCAAAAATTATTGAAGTATATGAATAATATTAAATTATTATAAAAATATAGAAATATTATATTCATTTGTATTTAATAATAAAATATTATGACTATAAATAGAAAAAATTATACATTAAAACTCTTAAATTTCTTTGATAATATCACAAATCCAAAGCCTGGTTTGTTAAAATCTTATATGTTACCCATTATTTATCCTAAATATCTGATTGTACAAAATATCTTTTTACTTCTTCAAATTTCAACGCTTATTTATCTTAATTGCCTTCCTCTTACAATAAATCATAATTGATAAACATTTCATTATAAAAGAAATCAACTTCCTTTATAAATTTCACAAGTAATAATGCATTTTAACGTTAACTCAAAACACTCAAAGAAGATATTACTCTTCGCAAACCTTCAATATTTTTCTATTGAAATTTTAAAAGTTGCTACTTATTTTAAATCACTATTTTGTTTCCTTAAAATTAAAGTCCTGAATAACACAAATACATTTAGAAATTTTCAATTAATTATTTGATAGCCTAAAACTGTATGATTATTATTACTTATTCATCTTTTATCATTTGATTTCGTTCTTATGGAGTTAATCTAATACTATTCTGATGATATTGGCTTTGATAAAAATTTGGAAATAAATGAGAAAGAAACTCCTAATTCTCACTTAAATCCTCATAAAATTCTACAATTTCTACACTATTTTAACGATAAGTTCTCCAATTGAAAAAATGATATATAATATTTTCTTTTATATTATCAAAATTTCCTCTTAGAAAGTATTAGTTTGGAAACTTTGAAATAATAATTTTTTTTTATTATTTAATTTCTTCTTGATTTTTAAGTAGGCTATTTAATTCAGTTTTATTAATACTTTAATCAAGTATTTTTTTACATGTCTAAAATTTATTTAAATCGAGAAATAGATATAAATTATTGCGTATTTTTTCATAAAAAGATTAATTGAATTTAAGAATATTTTCTTTTAGCCTGATATTTTCTTTTAATTTATATTCTTCCTGATTTAAATTTAATTATTTCAATTCTAATTCAATATTGAATTACTCTTCTTGCTTATAGAAAGCCTCTAATTAGGATTACCACATTTTTTTATTTTATATAGATGAATCTAACTGTTTTATAATGAATGTTTTGATTAAATCAAGTTCTTATCCTAAATGTTCAATTTCTTTAACTTATTTCAAAATTAACATTTTTCCTAATTCAAGTGATAATTATTTTTGTTAAATTATTTATCCATTTACCTCATCCAAAGATTTTGCATTTAAAGGTAAAACCCCTATAGTTAAGCATTTTTCACAAAAGAAAGTAGCTTTACTTTCCTTAGTAACATCTAAAACAAAAAATTTAATAGGAGATTCATGATTAAATTTACAAGAAATTCTATCGAGATGTTTTGGCTGTATTATTGAAGACATTATTAATTAAAGGTTTATTCTAAATTTTATTATTATTATTGAATTTATAAATAATATATTTTAATTCTACTATTGCTAAAATAGTTATATACATAAAATATATTACATTACTTAATCTGAGGAGTAAAAATTTAGAATCTATTAAGTTTTATTTAACAATAATAAATAAAAAAAATTCTATATAAAGATAGCATTTTTAATAATTTATTTTAGAAATTAAATGATTGTTGAATATTTAAAATTTATTGTTTTAGAAATTTCAAATTATTAATTAATAATTAATATATCTTAAATAAAACCTAAATCATGGATAAATCAAAATAGTCTTTAAAGAATATATTATTTATTATGTTGATAATTTTCCTACTTTAAATTCGAAATTTTAATTTGATTCGGAAAAATGATCTAACATTCTTTTCATATAATAACATTAAAAAATAATCAAACAATTAATATAAGTCCATATGAAATTTAGAATTAGATTCAATAGATTATCAGTGTAAGAAAAAAAAAGGTGAATATATGTTATTTCTGATAAATTGCTTCGTTAATTACCCAAATTGTTTGGAAAACCAATCTTAATTACTAAATAGAAGTGGTTTGTGTGGTAAAAATGTAGATTAAAGTGAAATTCCCTTAAAGAATTTAATTTTTATAAAATGGAAGATTTTTTTTGAATTGATTATGTCCTATTTTAGATGTTTCTTAATATTGATTAGAAGTAGAAAACTGATAAAAATAATAAAAATTTAAAATTAATATTTAACAAAATGCAAATTAAATAGAAAGAAAATCTGTATGAAATTTTAGCTTCTGCAAAAGATTTTGATGAATAAATATACAATATTATTATAGAAATGTTTCGTAAAGAAAAAATTTCAGACTGTTTAGCATATCTTTCAAATGATGAAAATCTTTAACATTATGAATAATAAATATTCTAAGTAATGAATTTACAATTTGCCGATTAAGAGGAGAGAATTAATTTCTTAAAAAATAATATGAAGATAATGATGAATATTATGAAAAAAATTAATGATCATGAATTTAGTAATAATGACTATTCCTCTGAAATCTATTTGGAAGCAAGACATAGTCTAATAAAACAAATAAAAGATAACGAAAAGATTATCTAATTGTTATAATTTTTTGTTCATCTCACAGCTATAGATAAAAGTTTAATATAATGTGGATCAAATTCATTGAATTTACTAGTATAAATGAAAGTTAATTTAAAGTATTAATGTTTTGAAAATATCAAAATTTAGAATACTTCTTTAAGTGGGGGTAATTTTGTCAGATGCAATTTGAATGGATCCGAATTAGATAATGTGGATATAAGCGGAATGAATTTAAATGGAACATTATTATAGAATTGTAAATGGAAAAACTTAAGAATTCATGAACTACATAAATTAAAAGGTCATACTAGTTATATCTATTCAGCATGCTTCTCACCTGATGGAACTATATTAGTATCTGGGAGTGACGATTAGTCTATCCGTTTATGGGATGTTAAGACAGGGTAATAAATAGCCAAATTGGATGGTCATACTGGTAGTGCCTGTTCAGTATGCTTTTCATTTGATGGAACTACGTTAGCATCTGGCAGTGGGGATAACTCTATCCGTTTATGGGACTTAAAGACTAGAAAAAAAAAGGCCTAATTGGATGGTCATACTAGTACTGTAAGATCGGTATCATTCTGCCCGGATGGTATTACTTTAGCTTCTGGTAGTGGAGATAAGTCTATCCGTTTATGGGATATTAAGACGGGCTAATAAAAAGTAAAAATAGATGGTCATAATGATAATATCAACTCGATATGTTTCTCACCTGATGGAAATACTTTAGCATCTGGAAGCGATGATAAGTCTATCCGTTTATGGGATGTTAAAACAAGACAATAAAAAGCAAAATTTGATGCTCATACTAGTTATATCCAATCAGTATGCTTCTCATTTGATGGAACAACATTAGCATCTGGAAGTTGGGATAAGTCTATCCGTCTATGGAATGTTAAAACAGGATAATAAATCGCCAAATTGGATGGTCATCTTAATGATGTCCAATCAGTATCCTTCTCACCGGATGGAAATACCTTAGCATCTGGTAGTGGAGATAAGTCTATCCTTTTATGGGACATTTAGACAGGATAATAAAAAGTCAAATTGGATGGTCATAGTAATTCAGTCTGGCTAGTATGCTTTTCATCTGATGGAACTACTTTAGTATCTGGAAGTGTAGATAATTGTATCAGTTTATGGGATGTTAAAACAGCATTAAAAAAAGCTAAATTGGATGGGCATAATCATACAGTTTGGTCAGTGTGTTTCTCACCGGATGCAATGACCTTAGCATCAGGTAGTGGAGATAACTCGATTCGTTTATGGGATGTGAAGACAGGGTAATAAAAAGTCAAATTGGATGGTCATATTGATCATGTTCGATCTGTTTGCTTCTCACTTGATGGAACTACCTTAGCTTCTGGTAGTGGAGATAAGTCTATCCGTTTATGGGATGTTTTGACAGGATATTAAAAAGCAAAATTTGATGGCCATAGTAATTCTGTCTGGTCGGTATGCTTCTGCTTTGATGGAAATACCTTAGCATCTGGTAGTGAGGATAAGTCTATTCGTTTATGGGATATTTAGACAGGATAATAAAAAGCTTAATTGGTTGGTCATAATGATTCAGTCTGGTCGGTACGCTTCTCACCTGATGGAACTACCTTGGCATCTGGTAGTGGAGATAAGTCTATTCGTTTATGGGATGTTAAAACATTATAATAAAAAGCCAAATTAGATGCTCATAAAAACGATGTATTATCTGTATGCTTCTCTCCTGATGGAAATCTCTTAGCCTCTGGAAGTGATGATAAATTTATTAGTTTATGGGATGTTTAAACAAGATAATTAAAAGCGAAATTAGCTGGTCATAGTAAATATGTCCGATCTGTATCCTTCTTCCCCGATGGAAATACCTTAGTATCTGGTAGTGGAGATGCCTCTATCCGTTTATGGGATGTTAAAACATTATAATAAAAAGCCAAATTAGATGCTCATAGTAATTGTATCAACTCTGTATGCTTGTCTCCTGATAATAATACATTAGCATCAGGTAGTAGTGATAAATCTATACGTTTATGGGATGTTAAAGCAGATAATTAAATTGAACCTTAAGATAAAAATTCCAAAAACCTTGTAGCATCTCCAATAAATTCAAATGATCCTCTTTCAAATGGTATGTTTTCTTTATTTATTTTTAGTAGCCTCTTATATTACCATCCTCCTAATATCCCAATAACCTATATTTTAAGCATAAGGAGCTCAGATTCTAAATGGGTAATTTGAGCATAAATCAGGCATAAATTTAAAAACATTATTTAAACAAAAAGGAACTTACTATTAAGTAGCTCAACAGTAAATTTAGAATTGATTATTTAAACAAATTAAAAATTTTCTTACTATTTTTTACAAATATATATGAATGACGCATTTCTTTTAATTTTATCATGGTTTTACAATAGGAATGGCCTAAGTCGTATAATATACAATACACTACCAAACAATCTCCTCAGCAATTTTTATCATAACTGTGCTTTCTTTAGAAGTTTATATGTACTTATAAACCAATAATACTACGACAATTAAAAACCCAATTTTCGATATCGAATGAAAGACATTTACTGTTCGTATAAGGACTAATAGTAAAATTTTTAAAGAATTTGCAATGCTTCTAAAGCACTTACTATTTCCAATCTGATGATTGATCATTTTCTTGACTCTATTCAAAAATCTCTTTAGTAATTTTTTTGAAACAACCTGAGTCAGTTTGAGTAAAAAATCAAAAAAAATTTTTCACTTAATCATCTAATATTTGGTTTGTTCTACATCATATTTTAAATCTATATACTTTTACTTTCATTCTATCCTATTAAGCTAATGATGAATTCTATTAGTTAATTTAAATATTTCAGAACCATCTATACAATAAAGATATTTGAAATTTAAAATATTATAAATGTTATTAGAATTCAATTAATTTTCTAAATAAAGTTGCAAACTGTTTAGCAACTTTATAGATACACTCTAGGTATGATCGAAATTTTCGTTTCAAAGGAGGAAATATAGATCTAATATATGGACTAAGCAAAATCTTCTTCAATTTGCAAAGAAAAAAATCAAATGATAGAAAAATTTATTCTGTATAATCCATTTCTAAAATAATTTTTTGAACCTCTTTTTGTTGTATTTTCGTGATACTAGTGAAATTTTATATCCTTTTTTTTGCATTGATCAACTTTTTATATGTTCTTATTTCTGATTCTGATATAAGAATAAGATTTTATTATTAATAGCCAAAGGATAAACGACCAAATAATTAATTAAAAATATTTTAAGGAATTTTAGATATCTTAAATGTATTATTATTTAAAATTTTGCTGTAATTATTCATTAATGATTTTATACATCTCCTTTATATGATAAATTTAATATAAAATTTTCCTCTATAAAAAAAATTATCTTTATACTTTTCTGTGATCTAATAATTTATTTAAAAATTTTATTATTTGTTATAAAGTATCCCTAAATATATTTTTTAGCTATTTGGTTAAACTAATCTATAATTTTCACTGCTTAAGTCAAAAATTTTTAATCTATATAAACCCCTTATACTTTCTTTCCTTCTTGATGGACTAAATTCTTAAATCTAAGATTTTAATTTGAGGCCAAGCTATGTATGATAGCAATATTTTTTTCCTTTTATTATCATCCTGTTATTTTGATAATAACAATCATTATGAGGTTTCCTTTTCTGTTAACTTTTATTTCGAAATCAATTTCTCTTTTTTGAGAGATTAGATTAATATGATTTAATCTCCCCTCAAGTGCGGGAAAAGTTCATTCACACACCTAAACTTGTTAATTTGTTTATTCGTGGAAAATAATGACTTCTATTAATTACACTATAATAATACAATTATTACCAAACAGTTTATGTATATACTTATAATTAGCTTTTTATTTTTAGTTGGAATATTGAGCACTCATAAAAAACATAAAAATACAAATTTATTTTCATTCAATGAATATTCTCAAAATATTAATTCATCTATTTCATATACTAACATCAAATAACTAAATACTTGCAATTTCAACTAATACCGAATCCTTTTAGTTTAAATAAATGTAAATTATAGATTTTAATAAATTTAAGTCAATATTTTATCATTTTGTTTAATTCCTAATTATTATTATTTTATGCTTTATTTCCATTAATTTAAATTTAAAATATTATCAATTTATGTAAATATCAAATGCATGATTTTTAATTTTAAATTATTTAACCACGAAAGTTACAAAGGAAATAATTATGTCTTTAGTTTAAACAAGGGTGAAAATTTTTTAAATGTATCATTAAACTGAATTAAAAAATAACATTCGAATTAGATTTAAATCTTTTGCATTAATGAAGAAATTTATAAAACTTTAAACCAAGTATTTTTATATTTTTAATTGAAAAGATATAAAATAAAAAATTTTAAGATATTTTAGTATTATATCTAATAAAGATAACTATTGATTGATTAAATTGATAATTATTTATCTCATTCTGTTTATCCAAGTATTTTTTTAAGCTTTTCAATATATTTTTGTAATTTTCTTAAATCTTATTTCATTTATCCAATTTAGTTGATGACTTTCTACTTTGGTTACTCTCTTTGTTTCACTATTGCCAAAATATATTTATATATTTAATATACAAAAAATGAGGAAGAATAAATTATTTTTTCATCGAAAGTATGAATAGGTTGAAGAAGATTTAATTTTTCTTCAGTAATTGATGAGATATCATAGTTTAATAAATAATCCAAGAATCTACGGTCATTTAAAAGTTTTAGACATTCAATCCAATTGTCCTAATCAACATAATTTTCCTTTAATAAAATTGTTAATAAGTTTAAAACTCTTTCAATTAATTGTGGAGGTCGACGAATACTTTTCATCTCATAAACATCCTAAATTTTTATTTTTTTTAGACCATTTAAAGCATCCATATATTAAAAATATATTTAGTCTGTTTTTTCATCTAACCCAGGATTGTTTTCAATGATTTCATTTAATTCAAGCTGTTTTGATTAAAATTATTGTTAACTTTACATAATTTTCAAAGATAAAAGATACAATATTATATTATTCATATTCTTGCAAACTAATCGTAATTATAAGAATTATGAAAAATCTAAGAAAGTTAGAATATAATTCATTATCTCAGGTCTAATTTTAATTATTAAATTAGGATTTGATGTTGTTAAATAATTATGGATTCTTAGTTATTTTAAATTAATTTCTTAGATTATTAAAAACAAACTATCTATATGAGATTAAGTATTTTGTTGTTTTTTATTTAATTAATCCAACTTTTGTTGAAGCATATTTAGCATATTCATTATTTGGTATATATTTATTTTAATACTTATATTTAAAATATGTCTAATATAAAATTTCATGAAATTATGTATTTTAATTCTAATAATATAATTTATAATCAATTGAAAGAATCAAATATTTAAAGGCCTGAAATAAGATAAGTTGAAAAAAGTTTTTAGAACAGTAGTAGCAAAGAAGTAAAAAAAAAAGTTGGGTAATTTGATTTTAATTATATAAAGCTTTTTTATTCTGAAACATTTGACTGATTATAATTAAAGTAGCTTACCTCTTATCCCTTTCTCTACTCTTTCACCAAATTCTTTTTAATTTTTTTATTATTTTCTTGAATATTATTTTTTTTAATTATATTTCTTTTTTATATTATATTATTCATCATTTCTTTTATTTTAATCAATAATTAAGGTATTAATTTTTGGCATTTTTTTATCATCTATTCAACTAATACTTGATTTAATTAGTGCTTATCGAAAAATATGGTTTCACTTAATCTATAATTCTTATATTATTATCTTTCTTTCTTTTTCAATAATTTCAATTTGATAAACATAATGAAAATTTTTGCAAACATAAATCTATTTATGTAATCTTTCATTTAAGATAGAATATTAGATACAAAAAAGTATTATTATAATGTTGAAAATAATAATAAATATTTTCTTACATTTTTATTTAAAAATAATAAATGTCTATAAATTATAATAAGCGATATATTTTTTATTAATTCATAGGTCACTTATCTTGGAAAATATATATAAATGGTATAAAAGTAGATAGATTGGGTATTTATTTTAAGACAATTTATAGAGATAAAAAGAATTAATTAATGTGTAATTAAATTAATCAATTTAGTGGTGGTGGATCATATGTAGAGTTTAAAGATGGAATTTATGTTTTGAGTGGATTGATAGAAATTACAGATTTTAATTAGTGTAAATATCAATTATTAAAGTTATAAAAAGGAATAATATTTTAAGAATATGAATGGATACATTAATAAAACTTAGATTATGATTATTAAAATGAAAAAATTAAAGATAAACTTAATAAAAATAACAAATAGTAAAAAATGTGAACAAAAAAATTATTATAATAATGATTAATTGTAACCTTCACTCTTTAAATTATGAATCACCTTTAGAATCATCATAAAAGGATATATTTTATCTTAAATTATTTAACTGCTTACGTTTTAGTTACATTCTTCTAATAAAAAAATAAAAAAAAAGTATAACTGCAAATATTATAAGAATTTTTTAAAAGAGATGGTTGTTTTCATTCAAGCTATTATAATTAATAATTGTTATATTACAATGAGCTTATGATACCTGATTTAATGCAATTAACTTAAATGTCTAGTTATTTGATATTTTGTCTTTTAAGTCAATTTTATAACCAAGTTCACCTATTTTTATTTATTTAGTGGTTTTTGAAAAAACAAGAAAGTGAGTAGTATTCAATGAGAAATAAGAATAATTATTTTAATCAAGTCTTCCGATATAATCATAAAATTTTGAATCTTAATTCAAATCATAAAAGTAAATTACATTTTAAATGGATTTTAAAATCAGAATACATTTATTATAAAATTCTAATGTTAAAAAATCTTATTCCATTCCATTTCTGAAAAATTTTTATGGTATAAACGAAAATGAAAATGTTTCCAAATTTATTTCAATATGACTCAAAATAGAATATTGCCTAAAAGTATGAAATAACACAATCTATAAATTTTGCTCAATTATAATAGACTCTAGAATCTAACATTTACTTGCATAATAAAATAATGAATCATTTTCTATATATATCAAGTATTTGAATTCATTTAAAATTGAATCCCAAGGAAGGGTTACATTTCCTTTAGAAATATAATGATCATCAATAAAAGAAAGAATTAAAAAAAAATACTCATGATATACTTATGAGAGTGTAATATAATAATTATTGTTTCCTTAAATTTTATGGATTTCTTAAATTTCAGAATAATTTTCAACTAAATGAATGATCTTGTTAATAATTATATAAATTATCAAAGAGGTTTCAGATTAAAAAGCAATTAAATTACCAGTTTTAAAAATTCTATAATCTTCGTATTTACGATATAGTATAATTTCTGTTGAAAAAATTTGGTTCCTAATTACAAAATTTAAAGAATCTTATTCAATTTAATAAATATTTCCATTTAAACAATTATTTGGGCTGGATTAAAATAATATCAATATTCGTTCTTCATCAATAACAATTACATTTATAATTTTTGCATTTTATTCGTAAAAAATAAATCTATCTTAACCTCTATTGTAATATAAAAGTTGTAGTTATTATTTTGAATTATCCTTATATAAGTATTCAAGTTTAACAATCTTTATAATAATTCCATCTTTATTATTTTAATTATAAGTTATTTCGGATAATAATAATGGACCAAAAATTTGAGTTACATTATCATCTTAAATCTTTATTGAATCTATTACCCCATGAAAAAAGTCAGAGATTATGATTTTTTGAAGTTAATATTATGAATAATTCATTAAATAATTACTCTTTTTTGGGAATAATCTATAACACTCATCATAGATATTTATAGTGAATGTAATATTTAAAATAGGATCTGTTTAACTTGTTTAAATAATCGAAAAAGAAATTACTTATTTTGAAATATCCTCCATTTCTTATTGAACAAGATTTTCTAATTAAATTTCGAAGTCTGAAAAATTAAATATTGTAATTTCATCTTTTGAATTATAATAAAAAAATTTGCCAGAATTGAAAAAAAATATAAATTTGCTAATTTCAAGAATTTTGATCAATTTTAGAGATTTCGTAAATCTTATCTCAAATATTAATACAAAATTCTTTTTTTCTTTTCTACTTGCTATTGCTAAATATTATTCATTAATGTCATAATTTAAAGGTCTAATTATTTCATAATCCCCCAGTTATAAATTATATAAAATTTATAATTATTGAAAGTCAAAATGATAAATAATTATTTAATTATACTTTAGGTGTATTCCTAATATGAAAAATTAATTGCCATTAAATCCCTTTAGAAAAACAATTTAAATATTTTCTAATCTAAAAAGAGTAATTTTTTAATGGTCTTCAACAATTAAAAATTAAAGATATTGAATAAATTTTGAGACTGTTCTTGAATAGTAAAAAGCTTCAATTATTTCTGACTTTTCTTAAAGATAAATTTCATTTAAGATTTTAAGAATTTTAATTATTTTGTAATCCAGAATAATTTAGTCTTGAAGATGTAGATCTAAAAGTTATATATCTTTACTATTTGATGTAAATATTAGTATACAATTTTTAAATTAAACAATATTTTTAATTTCACTACTCACTTTTATTTCAACAATTTTTCCATTTTGAAAATTTATTAGTTTTAACACATTTTTATTTTAAAAAAATAAAAGCAAATAACTTTAACAATAAAATACTTAACATGCTCTGGTATTAATTTAAAATTTAGGCAGACCGCCGTAACAATTTTATACATATATTAAAAATTGTTTTTTTAAGACTGCATACCCTTGATTTTAACTTTCATAATAAAGTAAAATTATATCTTATTGGTTGATGTTTTTTAAATTTGAACAAATTAAAAAAAAACATTTAATGTCTGATATTTTAATTTCAAATTTATAATCTTTATCAATTTTAATTTCATATTAATAAGGTAATTACAAATTCTTCTTGCTATAAAACAATTATTAAGTATTTTAACACTTATTATTAAAGCTTAAAGTTAACACAGAGTTAGAGTTGTTCTAGGTGATATATTAAATCTCTCTGCATATTTGAATATCTTATTAATAGTTGAAAACATAAAAAATGTATTTTTTAGTAGGCTAAATCAAATTTCTAGGATATGAGAACTTATAAAATATTATCTCATTAGCAATCTCATCATGTAAGTAGATTAAATTATGCTGATCATTAAAAATAACATAATTAGAATTCATTTTAATAGTCTAGTTGAATTAAGAATTATAAATAACTTGAAGTTCGTTTTAAGTTTACACCATAAAGATACCCTAAAGTAATTTTACATTTTATAGTCTACCTTCAAATTATTATTCAAATTCTTATTAGATACTCTATATTGTTGTTTTATTGATAGAAGAATCATATAGAACAAAAGAAATAAGGTTACAACTTTAAGACAGTGCAATTTATATTAAATACTAAGGGCTCTAACAGAAAATTTGATATTGTAAATGATTAAATTGATTTATAATAAACAAATGAACTCCTGTTTGAATAAGCAAGTACATGTATTTTAAACAAATTTAAATGTTTTCTAAATATTTAATTTAGATTGCATAGATATTTAAAGCTAATTATTCATTCAAAATAGTCTTCATCTCTTAGTTATTATATTAATATAAACCCCAATCTTCACATTTGAAGAAGCAAATTAAATATGTATTATTCTCTAATTAAAAAACTGTTCTCTTACATAGTTCATATTATCTCAAGGGAATTTCTTATTATAATTATAAATTGATTGTATTATTTAAATCAACACTATAAATAGTTAAATAGTTATTTTTTTAACAAAAAATTTGAAATTATGCTTCTTAACTTAAAAAAAAGTCTTAACAAAAATAATCATCTTAAATTTACATTTCAATTGCTGCTAATTTGTTTTCTTTATAATTCAATACTTCATTTGAGTATAAATTGAAAACTCTTATACAAGTGATTTAATAGATTTAAGATTTTATGAATATACAGAAAAGTTTATCATCAATTGACTTGAAACTATAATTTTCAATTATTTATGTAGATATTATTTATATCTCTAAAAAATTAGAAAATTTTAGTGATTCATTAATGATTTTGTATTTTGCATAATTTAAATCTGAAAATTCATCCTGATCACTTTCAATTATTAAAACATTTAATCTTTCTGAGATAAATTACTCTCCTTATTCAATCTAAATTATGCTACAATTTTTTGAGTCAATCTGAACAAGGTTATATATAAGAGTTGCTACTAAAATCCATTGAAATTATTCCATATAAAATATTTATTAAATCTATATGTGTTTTAATTACAACTTATATTTTAAAAACTTTTAAAATTGCCATTTAAATATGCAATGAATTAATAAAAAGTTGTTTTAACAATTAATTTTAATTTATATTAAAAAACATGTATGCCACTTTAAAAGGAAAATGTATAAAATGCATTCAATATTATTGTTATTTTTCTATTATTAACAAAGACTTTAGGAATAATAAATTACTGATAATATAAATATATATTCAAATATTGATAATAAAAATAAATAAATATTAATATTTGAACTGATGATTTAATATTAAAATAAGTAAATAATTGTTTGTCAGAATTAATAGTTATTATTGTTTAAATAGTTAAAATTATTAAAAATTGTTAGTATTTATATTCATCAAAATAATTATTATAATAATACCCAAGTTTCTGAATTTTAATCTTGGTAACTCTTTAAAAATTTTTATTATTATATTTATTGGAATGTGGACAATTTTAAATTAGGAAGTTTGGATATATTTTATAGAAAATATAATAAATTTTAATGAAGGAAGCAATATATGGAACATATGGTGAAAATGAGATAAAGGTAGGCTAATGGACAGAAGTCTCAGAAACATTTTTGGAGTATCAAATGTTCATTAAAAAAATCGAAAACCTTAAGTTGCTTATAAAGGATGATCTAAAAATGATATAAAATCTGAAATTTGCAAAAAATAATATGTTGCCAAAAAAAAATAACAATTTATGTTAATTTTTATATTTTAAAAACTAGTGAATACAAAATCTTTTTGATATAGCAACAAAGCAAAGATAAATTAATAATTAAGATTCCTCAATGCTTATCTACTTACTTAAAGGAATAAAAGATTAAAGCTCTTTTGCCATTTAGATATTGCTTTAATTAAATTGCTAGATACAAATTTAAGGGAAAAAAATAATTATAAACAACTATGTATTCATTATAAGAAAAATCTGAGCAAAAAAGTATTGATCATTTACAACTTTTAAAATTTGATTATTTTTTTTATCTTAACTAATTCTTTTTAAAATAAAAATATTGACAGCAATTAATTACTACTTCAATGCTAGTTTCATTCTGTCATATAATTAAATAGATGGCTATGTATTTTTGAAATCAAATTTGTAATCATTATTATTTTCCTATAAGAGAACTTTTACCATTATTTAATTTGGAATTTTAATAATTTTAAATTCCACAGGATTTGCAAAAATAATTGATTGTGAATGAAAAAGATTTTCATTTTGAATGATTTATTCTAAATTATAATGAAAATTGTTCTCGAATTTTAATAAGTTAACTAATCATATAATATTAAATGATTGAGACTTAAAAATTTATAATAGTTGAATATTATAATAAAAATAACAAGAATTGAGATACAAAAGATCCTGAAAATGAAAAATGAATTATAATTTAAAATTAAAGGGTTAAAGATTATAAAGTATTTAATACTATGAACCAAATTAAGTATCTTTCTTGATAAGGTTAATATGATAAGAACAATATAAAAAAGAAGGGAAATTGATTGCTTTTTGTAATAAATAATTTAAGAGAATACTGATGGATAAAGGAAAATATTGTGATTATTCTTTCTTTTAAAGAAGGGAAAGGCATGAGAAAATATTATATAGGTATAAGAAATGTAAAGAAGATAGATCAAATGATTAAGAAAGTAATTAGAACAAGATTTGACATTAGGTAGAATTGGATGAAATGTGCGTTAGAAGCTTAGTAAATACTATGAAGTTGTTATTTTTTAATAATATTTGCTTTTTGGCAATTTACTGATTAAGAAATAATTCTCTAGCTAATTTTTTTTAATTGGTCAAAATTTAAAGTTGAATTTTTATATTTCCACAACATTGAAACAGACATTAGATACTTTCCTCTAACAAATTCAAATATTAGACTCTGATAAAGTAATAAGACGAAGAATGTTTAGGCAAAAAAAATAGTACTAAACCATTGATAAAACAGGTATCATTTGGGAACTGATATTAATAAACAATTAGTCACACCATCAATAATAAGTTGTATCATCTGAAATTCATGCTCTCTTATATATCTTGTTGGGGTGGACACATGAGAAAATGAAGAAAAAGAATCACAGTGAGTCAATTAGATAAGTAACCTTTTATCCAAATCAAAAAGGGTTCTCTATGATTAAGTCCACATATCTATTGTTTATTTATCTCATTCACATTAAACATTCGCAATAAGTTGTCTCAAAATTTTTATAACATTCATTTTATTAATATTCATTTAAAACAACCAGGACATTTTTTAATTTTTCCTATTTTAAAGACCAAGAAAAGAATTAAATTATATCAAATAAACAAACAACTTTATAAATTATTAATGACTGATTTTTTTATCATCAAAATTTATTATTATAGATTCTCATTTATTTTCACTTATTAATAAAAGCTAAATTAAGAAAAAAATTTGGAAATCTAATGTAAATATTAGTAGAAATAATTTAATTATATTTTAAATATTCAAGATTTAAAATAAGAAAAAAATGTGTTTTCATTCTTTAAAAGATCTTAGAGGTAGATAAAAATTGAGTAATAAATAATCATTAGATCAAATATTTTTTTTTATTAGACAAAATAGCAAATATTAGAAATAGCATTAATCATTGGCTTAAATTGAACTAAAATTTTATTTTAATTTCTCCATATTATTTATTACGTGAGCATTGTCAAAAATTTTTTTAGTTCTTCGTAATGCTTGTAACATATAAGTAATGATGGCAAAGAATTTTGATAACCTTGAAAATTAGAATTAATTAACTTTTTTAAAATAATTAATGATATTAAATGCTACATTACATTGCCAGCAAACTCCTTTATTAAGAAGTATTTCAATTTTCCTATCCTTTTTTAGGATAATTTGACTTTTCATAGGCTAAATTAAATTAGGAAAAATTGTTTAAAAGGGAATAAGCATAAATTTTCTATTAAAAAAAAGAAAGAAGGTGAAATAAGAAATAATAAAATTAACTAAAGACGAGACTTTAAAATACTGAGTAAATAATTTTTTAATTTTATCTATATCTTATAATCAGTCAATTTCCATTTCAATTTACCTTATTATCTGTTAACTATATCTAATGACATTTTAATCCTACTAATTGATGATATTAGAGCTAATTCTCTTTAAAAATCATACAATCTCCCTTTTCTTCCAAATTTATTGATTTTTCAAAAAAATAATTACAATATCCTAGTAATATCTACTTTTAAACTGCACAATTTATGTAAATCAGGAGGGAAATTACAAAACAGAGATATTTTCGGCTTCTAAAAGATAATTATGAATACAAGATGCCTTGTCAACATCTAATTGAGTGCTTGATTCATACATAGAAATAAATTGAAAATAGAGTATATGATCAAATTAAAGGTGGAATTATTAAGTGAAATTGTATAATCCAATATTATTAGTATTTCAAGTAAGTGAGGACAATATTCTGAAGTATGCAGAAGCATATAGGAATACTATTTCATAAAGCGATGAAAGAAGTTAGAACAAGTGTAAAAACCTAAGGATAGTTAACCAGTGATCTCTTTGGAGAAATCAAATACCATTGCTCCTAATTCTTGGGTTTAATTCATATCAATAACGATCTAACTTTCTTTTAAAACTTCCAAATTCCAATAAAGTTTATGTTTAAAGAATTTCTTTATTCCTGAAATCAAAGCTATCCTTAATTTTTTTATACCGGTGTGGATTTTATATTTTATTTTTTTATATAAATGTCAAGATTTATGAATATAGCAACTTCCACATTACGTGGAGGTGGTTGTGGAGCGTCAAAATAAAGTCAATATACACAAAAAAACATAAAGTCAGATATTTAAGACATAGAAATTTTCATCTCAAGATTTGATTCCTATATTGAAACAATTTGCTTAAAAGCAGCTGTAGCTTCTAATTAATTAGAATCTTAAGAAATAATGATAGCCATCCAATGGTTTATTTTTTAAGAAGATAACATCTATAAAATTAGCCAGAATGCGTAAAAGGTCATTAAAAAATATGACTTAATAGTAAATGGAATACAAAAATTATTGAAAAGCTGTTAAATGTTTGTATATCTTATAGATTACAGCATCTCTATCAAAAATAATATTTAGCTTTCATATAATGAATGATGAGAGATATATGAAACATGAGTTATAAAAGGAATTTTTGGATATTTTTAATGAATTAAGATAATAAATTGAAATAGAGTAGAATGATTTGATTTAAAATGAAATAGAAATTTATTTTTTTTTGACCAAAACTTCCTTTGAATTGGCTCCAAAAAATGGTAGAGAAAAGCAAGAAATTTTATAAAGATGTTTAGGTGGTATAATTGTTTCAATAATGGAAATGAAACCAAAAATCTAATTACTTGAATCATTGTCTCTAGGTGCCTGCCTATTTTACAATATGTATGTACACTAGGACGATAAAAAATAATATGAAGTTTATTTTTAAATAGATATGCTTTAATGGGAGGTAATTAGTTATTTTAAAAATGATAAAGAATAAAATATAAAAGATCTAATCAAACAAATTCAGACAATACATGAAAATCTTGTGAAATAAACTATCATTTTTTATGGATTTAGATGATTGGCAAAATCTTAATTTATAATCCTTAAATAACAAAACAAAAATTATATCAGCTTATCACACAATTCAATTATGATGTTAGTTCAAATTAATTGTGGAAAGAATATCAGAGCAAAGGATTGCTTGTTTAACTAAACCAAAACAGTGACTAAGCTATTATTTTACTTGATTAACTATAATATAAAGAATTACTTTAACTTGATAAACTAATACTAGAAGACTGTTTCAAAGGATGGAAAAACTTCATATTGCTTAAAGAATTCTTTTTGAATGATTATAATCCCAATATCCAATTTACATTTTGCTCTTATTTACAATACAAATTAAAAGTAGGAAGCATAGAACCTTAAAAAAATGAAAACATTTTTGCTATGAGTCAAATCTAAACATTTTTTGATTTCATTATTTCAAATAAATTGCTGACTTTAATTAAAGAAAATTATGAGAATTTAGGAATTGTAATTAAAAGTTATCGAAATTTTATGAAAAATGATATATAATTCAATGAAAGGATTAAATCAACCATTTACAATTCAGAAATTAAGAAGATGCTTCTCAACTTCAAATAATATTTGGTAAATACTTAAAACATCATAAAAATTATGAGGCTTAATTCAAGGAAATAAAATTATTAAATCAAATAACATAAAGAATCAAATGAGCTAAATAATTTTTCATAACTTAAATATTTGATGAAAGTATTAGAATAAATATTATCATCACACGTTTAGGAGTTTAATTATATGATGGGTGATGAAAATAGTAAATTGGAAATTCAAAATCTCTGGACTGATGAAAGGATTTATATTTAAATGGAATTAGAAAGACTTAAGCTAAAAAATTAATTTCTTGATAATTTGAAAAAGAAGCTTTTGACTTAACTAACTTTATTTCTAGATTAAAAAAACTTTTTAAATGCAGCTTCAAGTCTGATTTAGGTTATAAAAAATTCTTGGATAGAATTCGAATAATAAGAACAGCAAGAAATTTCTTCACTTCAAATAAATAATAACGTGACATTATTTTTTGAGAATTAATTGAATAATCTTTATTTAGACTATGAAGAAATGAACAAAGAACTTAACAATGAAAATAATGAATCCCTGATATTTCTAAAGGAGATTATTCAAATCAAGTATGAAATTGGCGCACTTTTAAATCCTGAAAACCCTAAAGAGATCAAAGGATTAATAAAATATATACAAAATTTAAGGTTCAAAAATCAAAAATTCCATTTAAAATTAGACTCTATCAAAAAGTCATTCCTAAATGTATTACCGTAAATAAACCCAAAAGAATTACAAAAGTTAAAAGAATTTATAAATCTCAACGAATTTCTCCTTTCGGTATTGTAACATTAACTTTTTTCAACTCATTTAGAAGCGTTTTCCTCAGATTTGATCTTCTCAAACTATTATAATATATAAGATTTAATTTTGTTTTTTCTTACTCGTTTGAATTAAATGGCGAACTATTTAATTTTAACTCTAATAAATTTTTAATCTGATCTTGAATTAAATCATTTTATATTTTCCTTTAGATATTCAAATAGGAGATAAATTGGAAAAAAAAAGTTATTTAGAAAAAAATAATTATTTTTTTGTGAAAGAACAATTAAGGATTATCCATAAAGAATAATCTCAATTAGAAATATAGAAAAATAAGCTACCTATGAATTAATAAACTTATAATTCACGGAATAAGACTATAAAAATAAGTTATCAAAGTAGAAAGGATTAATAGAATATTTTCAATTTATATTATCAATAGAAAAATAAAAGATTTCCTGGGAAGAGTTAGATTTAAGATTAATTGAAAGGGAATTTGGAGAAATATTCATTAAAGAATCTCATTTCGAGATGATTGTGGAAAAATTTATTTAAGATCTAAATATTGATCAATTATTAGAAAATTTTATTGAGGATCAATTTGAAAATTTTTAAGATTTGAGAGAGGATTAAGAAAAATTTTCAAATTTGTTGTCTGACTTGAGAAAAATCAAAGATTAAAGAATATATTAAAACTTAAATTAGATTGAAATTGACTATTATAATTAATTAGCGAACCAAACAGAAACAGTTATAAAGACTATGGAAACCTTTGGAAAGAAAGAATAGAATATGTTTAAAATGCTAATAAAAGAAGAGCTGATGAAATTCTAAAGCTTAATAAGTAGATATCAACAAGAAATAAAAGTGAAGGATGAAACGACCAAAACATAAAGTAATTAAAACGAGATTTATTTATCTAAATAAAAAATATAATAAAAAGAAAAAGACCAAATGCAAGAAAAAGATGAATAAACTGATGTTGAATATCTTGGTAAGGAATTAAAATTTTACCACAATAGGAACCATACTGCTTACTTAAAATGTATGGTGAAGGTAATATAATTCTAATAATATCAAATAAAAGAAGAGGAGAATCTCATAAATAAATTACTTGAAGAAATTACTTGTTTCGCTGATGATCTAGATCAAATTCAAAGATTTGAAAATGAAACTTAAAAAGAATACAAATAATTATTTGAAGGTCTATTTAAAGAACTAATTAAGAACTTTGAGTAATTAGCTGTGACCAATATCAATTTATCTTAAATGGAGGATGAAAATTTTGAGTTATATTTGGAAAGAATTAAATCAAAATCTCATTTATCTTAATCAGCAAATGAGAAATAAGAAATTATTTAAACATAACCTAATATTTCTGATTTTCTCAATTTTTTAAAGGCTTATTTTTAAGAAAAATTAGCAGAACCCAAATCTTTTTCAAAAACTTTAGTTTAATAAGAACTTTTGATCCAACAAATAAAAAAACTTTACTTATAGGATAATTAAGAGGAAGAAAAAGATGAAAAATTTATCCAACAGAAAACCTTATTGGATAATTTAAAACAAAAATTTATAGATTTAACCAATAATGAGAATTTGAAAATTAAATAAGGCCTTGTGTTTACTATAATTTAGATTTCATCGAATTGCTTCACAGATTCAATTATTTCATTTTGTTCTAAAACTTTAATCTTATTTTGGGTTTCAGAAAAAGATTAAAGAGTTAGAAATCTGTTAAAAAATGAAAATTTAATAAACATGTAAATGCAGATTTTGAAAAAAGATTGGAAGACATAAAATGATAGGATTGCTGGGGAAATGGAATAAATTTTGAAGAGGATTGACTCATTAAAGGAAGAAATTTTTCATGAGCCTAATATCAATAAACGGGATTTAAAGCTTAAACAATTGGATGAAACAACTTAGCAATTAGATGAATATATTGGAAAAATTAGCGAAATGGGTTAACAATTTAGATTGATAACTGACTTTGTTAATTTTGCCAGAAAAGCGTTATTAAGATAGCATTGGGAATAAAATTAAAAGAATTTTAGGAAGGTTAATATACATTGGCAGTAAAAGAATATAGTGAATATTTAAACGTGTAGATTAAACAATTAAAATAATATTGGAATTTGTTATTTGTTAACTAATGGGAGATTAAATAAGATAGGTTAATATGATAGTTAAGGGGAAAATTAATGAAATGAAGGAGTAACTCAATAGAATGAGAGATGATATAAAGTTTTTGAGAGGAAAATCTGTTGAATAGCTACTTGAAATTAGAAAGTGGAAAGTATTGAATGAAGCAGCAAATAGAGATCTTAAGTCTATCTATGTACCATTAAAAACTTAAGATAAGGAGAAAGATGAACAAAGTAACTTGATGAATTTAGAATTATTTAATTATAAAGGAGGAGGAGAAATAAATGAGTTTTATAGGAAGAGAAAACAGTTATGCTAATTCATGGAATAACTGGATCAGGAAAAAGTACAACAGCTAAGAAAATAGAAGAGTTTATATGGAAATTACATGAGTCAAATATAAAAATTGGCAATCAATTACTCATACCTGTTTATATTTCGTTACCTTCTTTAAAAAATCCAGTTTTTTAGGCAGTTGAGGAAACACTTCGTTAAGTTGAATATGGTTTTGATGATCTTTAATTGAGAGAATGTAAAGAAAAGTTGGGAAAAAAGGAATTCCGATTTTTATTTATTATGGACAGTTACGATGAGATGAAATTAGAAAATATTTAGAAAAATTTATACTTTCATAATGAAATTAAATAAAATTGGTCGGACCCACTTGTTATTTTTATTTCAAGAAGTGAAATTTTTACAAGCATTGACTATATTGATTGGTTTGAGCCTTAACAAAAAAACAAATTTAAAGAAATCGAGCTTCTAATATTTGACTAGGAACAAACAAATGAATATTTGGAAAAATTCACAATGTAAAGTATTAAAATGTTGATTTTTGAAATATATGAAATGGAAACATAAATTAAAAAAGGAAGTATAGATATCAAAAAATTTGAAATGTGCTGGGGATAATTGTATTCGTAATTATTGAAATTTGATAGATCATAGTTGAAAATCTGAGGCTCTTTTAAATTAAGATTAAATAGATAGAATTTTAGTATTTCTGAAGAAAAATGAGTTTATTTCTTTCGAAAATATTGAAGCTTTAAGAAGTTTGAGCATAAATTTATCAAAATTATGGAGCATTGAAAAATATTAGAATATTATGGAGTAGTAAAATTTAAATAAATTAGTTGAAACTCCATATATGATGGAAATAATGGTGTGGGTGTTGCCTTCAATGATGATTAAATCGTTTGACATAATTAAAATGAAATAAAACTTCATCAACAATTTCTCAAAAATATTTAAAGTATTCGAAAAAAGCGAATATTTGATTAAGATGTATTAATAGTAATAGAAAAAGCATTTAATAAAATTAAATAATGAAATTTATGATGATAAATTGGATATTACTCAATAAGATATATAAAACTTGGAAAAACGCCATTATTATCAAATTACTCTTAAAATTTGGGATAAAATGGATGAGAATTTAATTCCTATTCAACTTTAATTATCTTAACAGTTCAGTGAATTAAATATTCAACTTTTAAAGATATTGGAACCTAAACTTCTATTACAAAATCATATGTTAAATAAAGTCGAGATTTAAAATGAAAGCATAATCTCTTTAGTTTGCGATGCATTAAAAGAATATAATCTTACAAGCTTTGACTTTTATGATGAATTTATTAGTTATTACTATTTGAAATAAATAGAAAAATAGAAAAATTTAGGAAAATCTATAAATTTTGATTGTTTTTTGTTTGATCTATAAAAATATTCAATTAAACTTGCAAAAATAATGACTAGAAACGAAATGACTTAAGTTTAATATAAATATTAAGGATTATTATTTAAAGATGAAGCGGAAGAAGAAAAATGGCTAAATGAATTTTTTAATGATGATGGTAAAAAAGGAAATTATAAAAAGGACATAAGAAGTTGCTCATTGATCTAAAACAAAGGTTAAAACTTTTCATTTGTACATAAGTCAATTTAAGATTTCCTAATTGCAGCTGATTTATATTAATTGTTAGCTTTGTCAAAAGAGCTTGATGGGCAAGTCTTGAGGTATTTGGTGGAAGAGATTTCAAAAGGATAAATTGGAAATTAAGATTGTTAATTTATCAAAGAAATTTTTCATAATAAATCTAATAATTTATCCTTATTTGTAAGATCATAGTAATTTGCAGATAAAATTAAGTTAACTATGAAACTTATGAAAATTATTGAAAAACATGACTTTAATTTAATCAATTATTCAACTGAAATTTATTCAGAAACAAGAAAACATCTCATATCAAAAATATCCTAAGAGAATAAGGTGATAGAATTGTTTAAATTTCTGGTTCATCTTACGAAAAAAGATTACAAATTCATTTAAAGTGGTAGCAATTCACTAAATTTATTGGTTGAAATGCAAGTAGATCTAACAATGCAAAATTTTTCTAAAATATAAATTACAAATACATCATTAATAGGAGCGAACTTTGCAAAATGCAATTTGAGCTAATCAAAATTAGAAAATGTAGATATTAATGGAATTAATTTAAATGGTGCTTAGTTGTTTAATTGTAAATGGAAAAAATTATTAATACAAGAGCTATTTCAACTAAATGATCACTATTCTGTATAGGCAGTCTGCTTTTCTCCTGATGGTAATATCTGGTAGTTAGGATAAGTCAATCTGTTTATGGGATGTTAAAACTGGATAATAAAAATTCAAATTGAATGGTCATAGTGATTAGGTCTACTCAGTATGCTTCTCACCAGATGGAACTACTTTAGCATCTAGTAGTGAAGATAAGTCAATCAGATTATGGGATGTTCAGGAAGGAAAATAAAAAGCCTAATTAGATGGTCATAATAGTAGTGAAGTATACTCATTATGCTTCTCACCAGATGGAACTACTTTGGCATCTGGTAGTAGTGATAACTCAATCAGATTATGGGATGTTAAAACTGGATCATAAAAAGCAAAATTGGATGGTCATACTAGTTATGTAAATTCACTCTGTTTCTCTCCTGAGGGTAATTCATTAGCATCTGGTAGTAATGATTCCTCTATTCGTTTATGGGAAATTAAAATAAGATAATTATTTTAGCCTTCAGATAAAAAAGATAAAGAAATTTTAGCAGAATTTCAAAAATGTCCTTTTCCAGATAATGGTATGTATACATATTTATCTAGTTACGTATTACCCTTTTCTAATTATTTAATAAGCATTGAACTTTGAAGCATAAGGAGCTTTAATACTTCGAGGAGAATTTGTTCATCACTCAGGCATTGATTTGAAAACTTTATTAAAGCAAAAAGGAAGCTACTTTTTGGATTGTATAAAAAAGAATTGATTATAATTAAAATAATTACAAATATTTATAATTTCATTTTTTTTAGGGATAATGAAAAAATTAGTCAAATTTTTCTGCATCAGTTAAATAAATTGATGAACAATATAAAAAATTTGTAAAAAAATTGGATTTTTAAAAAATCAAAGAGAAATTTATCCCAATAGTTTATCTGAAAGTGAATTTTTGTATTTATTAAAATAAAAATTATTTTTATTATTATATTTATTCACTGAATATATAAAATGTCTTTCAATTATATCACTTAAGGAAAAATTTTTTACCATTTGTAAATCTTTTATTGTAAAAATGTCTTTGGATTTAATGTCACACCAATATTTTATATTTAATGGAATAATTCCTTTATCATTCAATTTTCCTTAAAAAAATTATAACATCTTACCAATTTTATCAATAACCTTTAATACTTATCAAAAATAATTGTAATACTATATTTACCTATTAAAATTTATTATGTTAATCAAATAATTCCATATCTACAAAAAATTTTTAAATATCTTACTTCTGTTGTATTTTAAATATGTTTTATGATCTCAAAGTCTATTTTAGAAGAATCAAAGAAAGGAGAGTATTAATCTTGTTAACATTTTTTAACTTATTTATGGTATAGAGAGTAAACCTACACTATGACTTTAGTGTTAATACAAGATTTTGTATTAATTTTTAGAATTTGAAAATTTACCAAGATGAATTATTTGTCCATTTTTAAGATCGTTATTTTATCAGAATAACATACTAAAAAGTGCACATAATAAGAAGTTAATAAGGTCATTATAATTTGTTTGCAATTTTTAAGATATTATTTTTATGTATTAAAATTGAAATATTTATATATTTAAAGAACAACTAATTATACAATTTAACCACCATAATTAAAACTTAGATCTATTGTTTTTTTATTTTTTCGTATAAAAGTTAGTATCAAAGTAATAGAAATTAAATATTTAAAAAAAAAGTTTATGAATTACACTCATGACTAGAATCAAGATCTATCTGAGATTTTAGCTTATGTTAAAGATGTTGATGGATTTATATTCAGTCATATTATTGAAATATTTAGAAAAGAAAAAATATCTGATAGCCTACGATATCTTTCAATAGATGAAAATCAAAAGCATCTTAAATAATAAATTTTCATATCAGAGAATTTATCGTCTTAGAATATGGAATAGAAGCTAAATATATTAAGTAATAACATTAAAATAATTCCTAATATTCTCAAAAAAATTAAAGATCATAACTTGAACAAAAATAATTATTCATTTGAAAAATGTTCATAAATTAAAGAAAATATAATGAAGAAATATGCAGATCAACAGGGAATCATTTAATTTTTAAAATTTTTAGTTCTTCTCACAGCTATTGATAACTAATTTGTTGTGAGTGGATCAAATTCACTGAATTTATTAGTTTAAATGAAGATCGATCTTAGTTACTAATGTTTTGAAAATATTAAGATTTAGAACACTTCTATTATTGGAGGGACTTTTGTAGGATGTAATTTGAGTGGATCGGAGTTTAATAATGTAGATATTAGTGGAATAAATATAAATGAAGCTCTACTCTTAAACTGTAAATGGAAGAACTTGAAAATACATGAATTGAAAAAATTGGAGGGTCATAGCGCACCTGTTAACTCAGTATTCTTCTCTCCTAATGGTGCTTCATTAGTGTCTTTGAGTGATGATAATTCTATTCGTTTATGGGATTTTAAAACAGGATTATAAAAAACTAAATTAGATGGTAAATATGTTAATTCAGTTTGCATCTCCCCAGATGGCAAAACTTTAGCATTAGGTTATAAAATGAGTTTAGGTTGTGGAGATAATTCTATTCGTTTATGGGATATTCAGAAACGAATATTAAAAGCTTAATTGGATGGTCATGTATGGTAGGTTTCATCAGTATGCTTTTCTCCTGATGGTGCTCTATTAGCATCAGGTAGTGGAGATAACTCAATCAGATTATGGGATGTTAAAACAGGAAGATAAAAAGCTAAATTGGATGGTCATGTATGTTAGGTTTCATCAGTATGC